TTTTTTTTTTTTTTTTTTTTGACAAAAGCAGTATAGTTGATGTTAATAGCAGAACAAAATACATGCGGACATGCCTAAATAAATTGCATTTCCATTCACTATTCCTCTAGTCTAAGTACTTCCTCTTTTTTTTTTTTTTTTTTAAATGCAACATACCCTTTGGGCATGGCAGGTGGTGGTGGGGGTTACGGTGGTCAGACAGTGGAAACGGTTTCTGGGTTTTTTTTTTATTTATTTTTTTATTTTTTGACCAATCAAAACTTGACATGTGTTAAGTGACCTTATATAATAGGTCATTAACTTGGTTGACCGGCTAGGGGATTGAAGAAAAAGAGGAACCCTAAAATTCGGATTACTCCATAATAATCCAAAGTTGAGATTATTATTTCTAATTTTTTCTAAGAGATTTAGATAAAATTCCCAAAAGATAAAATGAGCTATCCCTTGGTTTTTTTTGGATAAAATCCTGGCCTGAAAATATGAGTTTGGAAAAACTGCAATAATGTTTATTTGCCTTAAGTGGTATGATTGCACTCTGAAGAAGATGAGTTTCAGAGCTGCTGGTGCTTCTCTAGCCTTCTCTCATGGCGGTATTTCTCTCTCTCCTTTTCATTTCTTCAAGTTTTCCCCCTTTCATTTTTATTCCCGATATTATCCCCATCATTACCCTAATCGTGCTCATACATTTGATAATCGTGACTTGTTTCTCCAATCAGTTACTGAACGATCTAAATTAGGGTTTTCCGATCTTAATTCTCCCCTTTTACTCTTCAATCAAAAGGTTAATTTGCGTCCTCTTCCTTCTCTTATCCAATTTACTCAGCTTTTTACTGCCATTTCCAAATTGAAACGCCTTGAACCTCATTCCACCATTGTCTCTCTCTTCCGAAAGATTGAATTACTTGGTATTTCACATGGTATGCATTCTTTAAGTGTTCTTGCTAATTGCTACTGTCATTTGGGCAGACTTGATTTCGCCTTTTTCTCTCCTTGCTAAAAGGCTTAAGCTTGGTTATCCCCTTGATTGTGTCATTTTTAATACCTTAATTAATGGATATGTTCACTGCGATAAGCTACCCCAAGCTGCTCATTTGTTTAATAAAATTGTAAAGCTTGGTTTCCAACCCGACTTAATTACGTATAATACTATTGTCAAAGGCCTTTGTAGGATTGGCGACAATGCGTCTGCTCTCGCTTTTCTTAAGAAAATGCAATCTGGATCTCATTTTAAGCCTGACATTGTTTTATACAACACTATTATCGATAGTCTTTGCAAGGACAGGTTGTTACAAGAGGCCCTAGCCCTGTTCTCCTCTATGAAAACTGAGGGCATTAAACCCGATGTTGTCACTTATAATACTTTGATTCGAGGCCTCTACAATTCCAGCTGTGGGGATGACGCTCAGCGTATGCTGACTGAAATGCTAGAGAGCAACATAGCACCTACTGTTGAGACCTACAACATGCTGGTTGACATGTTTTGTAAAGATGGCTGTGTTGATCAAGCACAGTCCATTCTACACCACATGACTAAGAGAGGTGTGCCTCCAAACATCCTTACTTATAGTGCATTACTTGATGGTTATTGTTTGCATGGTCAGATGGAAGATGCAGAGAACCTACTTGATCTCATGGCTGAAAATGGTTGTGAGCCTAATCTTGTAAGTTTCAGCACTATGATTAATGGATATTGCAAGGCTAATAACATTGACAAGGCCCAATACATTTTCCAAGAGATGTTTCGGAAAGGAATAACCCCTAATGTTGTTTCCAACAACACTCTTATCAATGGACTGTGCAAAGCCAATAGACTCCCTCATGCACGTAAGCTGTTCGAGGAAATGCTGGCTGCCGGAGTAACTCCAAATGTTGTCACCTATGCCTCCTTGCTTGACGGCCTTTGCAAAAGTGCGCTGCTTGATGAGGCAGTGAAATTGCTTGAAGAAATGGAGGATAATGGTGTTAAGCCAAATGTTGTCATCTACAATATCCTAATAGACAACTTGTGTGAGGCTGGACAACTTGAAGATGCAGCAAAGTTCTTTTCAGATCTTGTAACAAAAGGTCTGCAACCTGATGTTAAAACATACACTATAATGATCAAAGGCTTCTGCAAGAAAGGGCTCATGAGTGAAGTTCCTCAAGTGTTGAGGATAATGGAGGAAGATGGTTGCCCCCCTAATGATCTTACCTATAATACGATCATTAGAGGTTATATAATCAATAATGACTTGTCAAATGCTTTATACTATCGTGATCTTATGGCTGGAAAAGGATTTGAAGCTGATGCAAACACTATCTCATTGTTTGTTGGTCTATTGTCTTCGAACAAGGATCTGCTTCAGAAGTTTATCAGTTAAATTGCAGTTAAGATGTATGCAAAGATTTTGGACCTTGAATTCTCAGGTGTTATCCTTACAGGAATGGTGAATCCATTTATGTAATTTTGACGAAGTAATTATACTAGATTGCAAGCACCTCACTCATTGTTGTTAATTACTAGTGAATCCATTTAGGTAATGTTTTGGTGCTCCTAGTATTTTGTGCATAGTAGTAGTGTTATTCTGTTATTTTTTTATTGGGGGGGGGGGGGGGGGGAAGGTGGAGGGCGGGGACGGCTTAACATAAGGTGACAACTGACAAGTCTGATCACAAAATAAGTGGCTTTTTAAAATTTTGTAATTTATTTCTTTCTTACTAATGGAAAAGTTACAGGGAGAACAAGAAACTAGGATAGCATTCTTTACTTATCTGTGTTCGTCTTAAAAAAAAAACGTTTGTTTCTTGATCTGTAGTGATAGAGTCACACTGAAAATTAGAAAGTCATATGCATAGAGTACAATTAGGACTAAGGTTTGATTTGATAACAAAGACTTTTATTACTTGGGGGTATTATTCAGAGACAATAGGAGGTACTTCAGATCATAAATAGACTTATTGAATTAGCTATGACATAAATTATGCAATGATATGTTATTGGTGCAGGTTTACTATTTTCATTATTTTCTTTTATAGTTCAGGCTTGGCTGTTGGTGTTTCATTTTTTTGTAGTTAATTTTAGCTTTGCTTCTGGCAATTTTACATGAGCAACTCTGTATCTTTTGCTTTCTAATTCTGACTAAAATTCTCTTTTTGCATGATCTTCCAAGAATTATAGGCTTTATGCTGCATGTGAGCTGGTTTACTTTGCAAATCATCTCTCCCTGTTTATGTGGTATATCGTGTATCAGTGGTCTGCACATCAGCACATTTGTACCGATGATGAAGTGTAGATGTAATTCGTATACATTGCCGTAGTGTCTTAACAAATCAAATTAAAGACATCAATAATGTACTAGCATTGTAGTGGATTGTTTTATCAGTAGTATTTAAGGAAAGGGGAGCTATAAACTATTATACAGATCTGGTTCACTGATGGTACTGGTTATTGTACCTGGTATGATCACATATCATGGCTCTAGGCAGGGCTGGATTGGATCACTGAAAGTTGTTGGCTTCATTTCTTTGCTGGGGCACTGTAGGTCTTTAGGGATCTGTAGAAAAGGGTTTGAGTTCGGGTTCCGACTTTGAGTTGGGATTTTTGTTGAGCTAGAAATAATCTCCTTCTTAAGCATGGTTGGTGTGATCTGAAACAGTGAAACACACTGTGAAGAGCTTGTGTATGTTGTTTGAGGTAGGCTTGTTTATCAAACAAGCTTGAAGATTCTTGTTTGTGTTTGTTTGTTTCCTTAATGGACAACACATGAACCAGCTATATTTGCATTGTTCAGTGTTCATGATTCATGAACGTATGAACTCTTTTTTTTATTTTTTATTTATTATTATTATTCTTTTTTTTTTATAAATGTTTTTTTTTTTAACCTCATGCATTTCCAGCTTCTATTAAGACTTAAAGGGGAAATGCAGATATAATTAAAGTCTTTCTATGTCAAATTTTTGATTTTTGCGTTATTATATGAGGTATTATTTGTGTTGGAGTTAAGTTGAATATGATTTGAGGAAGTAAAGTTAGTGGGTTTTGATGTTGATTATTTGCACTGTATGCTCAACAAATGTGATATATAATTTAGCTTTGTGTATTGAAATACTTAAATGTTGATGATAATGTTATAACTTTGGTGCAACTGAGAAACTTTTAGTGCTAATAATGATGTGAATTTAAGAAGATGATGCTGATTTTCGGAACCTAATTATGCTGTAAAATACGAGTATTAGGTAACTATGGAGCTTGGTATATGTGACAATGTGACTTTGAAGGTACTGGCATGGTGGTAGTTTCAAAATTGTTGCTAACGGAAAGATGGTGTATGAGCTGTACGATGATTATCAATTTGGAGTTGATTAAATTAAGATTTTAAGAATGTCTTTATACTCTAAAACATAAGGAGTGAACTTAGGGTGAACACATGACGAATTTCTTTCGACGAATGTTCTTTTACTAACTCCTCTAACCTATTGAATCAAATATTGAACTTCATATACATAGAGAATACGAGAATTTACTTCTCTTGGTGTAGCTCAGTGCTATCAGCCGGATGGTCAAAGTACATAACCTTTTCCTTTTCGTTACTTATGGGATAGGGATAGGAGAACTGGAAAAACCGATGATTTTAAGATCAAAATCGATCTGATTTTTTTTTTTTTTTTTTTTCATACCCTTTATGGGTTTGGTACATTATGAGTGGAATAAGATTATATGTATGAGTGGAATAAGATTATAGTAAAGTCATTAAAGTCTCATCTGGATGCACTGTTTTGTTACTATACTATATTATTCGTATATTGCCTTCATCCACAAATAATCTTCATGAAATTCTTTGTTGTGTTTACAAAAAAACTTAATTGTATATTATCAAAGAGAACTATATGTCAACTACGTCATTGACAATATACAAATAACTGTATATCATCAAAGAGAACTGTATATTATTCTATGTCAATTAAGTCATTGACAATATACAGGTACAGCATTATCAAAGAGAACTATATGAGCAAAAGCGTAAGAAAAAATTTATTTTGTTAGATTCTAATGTGTAATCACTGTAATGTGTAAGGTTAGTCTGACAGAAGCCTTGATTTGGAGTCACCACAAATTTATACTCCGTACTATGTTTTGGCTAAGATTAGGTTCAAATCAAAATTGAATTCTAGTACTGTACAATGTTTCAAAGAATCCACATAAAACTCGCAATCGGGAACCAACAAGAACAGGAAAGTGAAGGTATCTGAACTAGATTAATCATAAGTGTGTCTATAAAGATACAACAATCTAAACAGCAAACTCTCCATCATTGTCCTAAGGAAGTTATCCTCTTTTAACAGTTTATAATGACGCTTAGATCTTCAAGCTCGAGATCTGGAAGTTGAAAAAAAAAATTAACCAGGCTCTTCACTTGACTGCTGCTCATTGACAACTCCCACCTATGGTAATAAAGGGAGAGAGAGAAACAGAGAGAGAAAGGGAGGTAAAGGAGCTAAAGGTAGTCATTCAGATATGCTTGATCTAGTAGAATCAATAAATCATCATTTTTCATTTTTGAAGCTCTTACAGGACAAGCGCGATGAATTAGTTCACAGCCTGGTGGTCAATTTTGCACTTGGGTAATCATGACACTGCTCAATAAGTGACGTAAATGCTTCTTACTATACCCCCTGAAATGCAGTAAAAAAATTTCATCTCATCACAAGCACTAATATTATTCAAATGATATAATGAGGCATTTAAATCCTAGACATGGGGTCTTACCACTCTTCCCATGAATATGCCTCTTTGAGCTGAAGTCACATCTCTGCCATCAACAGGCGCGATGACCTTATCACATCATTAAGCACCACAAAATTGTGCTCCGCAATCAACTGACATATCAAGCACCTCTTAAAGACACTTCTAACTGCTCTATCCTTTCTGCCAGGTCATGCTTCCCAATATTCTTCAATCCATCAGTGACCATATCAAAGTTTTTCGACAAAGGCGGCAAGCCTATCTCAGTCATCTCAACCAAGTAGTTTGCAGCCTCAACAAATCTACCCCCACGAGCACACATCCTAATCAACATCGTGTAAACTGGCCTATTTGGCAGATGCCCTTTAATCTTCATGTCACTGAAAAAGCTAAAGGCGTCATCAAACTGTCCAGCCCTAAACAATGCCTTGAGAATAGGTGCATATAAACTCGGAAAAGGCTTATGACCCTCCTCAATCGAGCAATGCAGCAGCCTAAATGCCTCATCCAACTTATGCAACTTAGCAACAATTGGAATCATAATTTTATAGGTATCAATATCAGGGCAAAGCCCCAATTTACACACATCACTAAACAATTCAATGCAAAACTCAGCCTCCCCCGACTTACAAATTGCTTCCAACAACGAATTAAACGTCCTGATATCAGGCACAAACCCTTCCTTAGCCATTTTCCTAACCAAAGCCTTGGCATTTTCAACATGACCAGCATTCAACAACCCATCAATCAACAAATCCCGGCCTCGAACAGGCGGATTAAACCCCTTCTTACTCATCTCCTCCAAAAACTCCTGAGCCTCCCTCAACTTCCCAGCCTTACACCACGCGTTAACGAGCACCGAATACGTCTCCTTATTCGGGCTAGCCCCTTTTCTAATCATCCTCCTAATCAAAGAATAAGCCCCATAAAAATTCTTCCCCTCACACAAAGCAAACAACAAGGAATTATAAACACCAACAGTTTGTTCACACTTAAAAACTTTAGGGCAAGAATTAAAAACCCTAACAGCTTCATCAATAAACCCTTTACTACCATACTCACGAATTATAAATTCAATTACCTCAGTTGAGAAATTCAAAGAAGATTCCTTACAAAGCTGATGAAGAACCTTCCACATTGTCTCCCAATGATGAGTTCTAGCTAGGGTTTTGATCAATTCCTCGTATTCAATTGCAGTTGGTGAATAAGAGGAGAGAGAATTACATCGCGCCCAATTGAAGAACCGGAAAGACTGGATTCCATAACGAGAGCACCCCCGAAGAACGCGGTAAACGAGCTCGTTGGTGACGGTGATTCGGAGCTTGTTTAGGGTTCTTTCGAGGTAGATGTCGCGGCGAACAATGTTGGAGATGTGGTGGACTGCGGCGAAGTAGTCGTCGTTTTTGGTGGAGGAAGAAAGGGGTTTTCCGCCATTGGAGGAGGTGGGGTTTCCGCCATTGGAGGAGAAAGTGGAGAGGAGAGAGAAAAGGGAGTTGAGATGGAGGAGAGGGAAAGGGATTGGTGGTAATGGTGATGGGAAGGTGGGGTGGTAATGGAGGAGAGAGTTTCGAAGGATGGATTTTGCAGTTGATATCATTCTTCTGGTTTCTTTGATTTTGAAGAAGAGAGAGAAGTGAGAGGAAATGAGAGGGAGAAAACACAATCCATAAACCACTGGAAAAATTTCCCTCCTATTTTATTATTTGCTCCATTACCATTTTTTGCACTTATTAATCTATACTCAAGTCTCAAGGAATAGATTATAACGGAGTAATTATTAAAATCTTTCATTGAAATTGTCTAAAGGAATAGATTATAACGGAGTAATTTTCAATTGTTATTAATTTATACTCTCTGTTTACTTTATCTTAAAAAAATAATTTTCAATAAAAGTAAATTCTATTCAATAAAAATAATTTTAGTTCAGCAAAAATAAGTTCTATTCAATAAAAATAAGTTTTAGTTGAGTAAAAATTAGTAACCTTAAAGAAGAAATATAATTGAAAATCAGTAGAAATACAAAATCAGTTTAGTAAAAAAAAATTTAGTTCAGCAAAAATAAGGCGAAGTGAACGAGGCCTTATTAATAATTAACGATATTACTGATCAAAGATTTGCGTCGACAAACGTACGTAGAAGAAATGGAGCAAGAAATAATATACGAAAGGAGTATGTTTAATTAGCATAAATTAGTAGTTAATCCCCAAGCAATGCTCGCCTTATTAAACCAATATAAAAACCATAGTATCTTTCATTTTTTATTAAAGGGCCTAATGCATCAATAAATGGATGTTGTATTAATACGGAGTATCAGCTATTTAAAAATTTTGGAAAATTGTTCCGTGTATCCTTGAGGTTTTAAAAAATGAACCGTGTGTCCCAGAAAACTTTTAAATGCACCGTATACCCTTGATGTTTGTAAAAAAAATAAATAAAAAATACACCAAATACCTTGATCATTGAACAAATGCACTTATCATTAAACTTATCAAACTAAAATTATAACACACACTGACTCCCTTATAATACTTTATATTTATATAGTAAAACTGCCTAAAAGCAAAAATTACATCCAATATTGAACTCCATCGATCATTCTAAATCCTAAACTTTTGGGTGTTAAGATTTAATTTATTAATTAAGTTTACTTGATAATTAAATAATTTAGCATTACATTAGCATTATAATGTAATAGTTTAATATAATTTGATGCTTAGGGGGTTTCAATCTTACAAAATTTACCATTTATTATGAGTCTAGGGGTATTAGGTGCCATTTATTTATTTTTTTTTTTTTTTTTTTTGCAAACCTTAAAGATACACAATGCATTTGAAAGTTTTTCAAGGATATACGGTTCATTTTTTTTAAAACCTCAGGGGTACATGAAAGCGCCAGACCCAATATTAACAAACTATGTTAATATCAACAATAAAAAAACATATTACTTTCATCTTCCTCCTTTAATACACTTGCTTCTTTTTCCTCCATCAACACCACCAACAACCCCTTCTTCCATGAACGCCGACACGACGCCCGACAGCAGCTTCGTCGCCAAATTTAAAGAAAACCTAAGAAAAATACACAAATTAAGGGAATGGTTAACACAAAATGGTAGGTATTGTCGAGGGTACCTAGGCTTTAACAATGGAGCATCTATTAGAGCTTGAAGAAAGCTTCGATTCGGTGGGGTTTGAAAAAAATTGAAGAAGGTAAAGACCATTTAACTATAAAATTGCTCATATCATGATTCTTTCGCTGGTTCATTGTGATAGGTGGCGATTGTAATGGTGGTGAAGAAGCGGATATTGAACTCCATTGTTAAAGCAGATCTTCATGGTTGAAGACTTGAAGCTCTAATGATGTTGAATTTACAGTCTTGTCCATAAATTACTAATGAAAATGACTTTTATACCCCTATATTAACAACTTTTGTTTATATAGAATATTAACTTGTATTTTCTCCACACGGAACATTTCTCAATGAAATTTTTTACTAACAAAGAGTTAAAAAAGGTTAAATGAAAATCACAACAGAATAACATTTTTTCTTTTTAAAAAAATTAGTTTATTAAACTTCTTCATTACTTCATTTAATCATGTTGCAAACCAATATGATGTACTCCGGTATAAATTTTTTTTTCCCTTAGTAATTAAAGCACAATTTAGAATGGATGAAAGGAGAAATAAACATGGTTACAGTTTGTTAAATGTTATTTCTAATACTTTATTTTATTACAAGAATAGCATAGATTGTATATATAATGTTATTTTTAATACTTTATTTTATTACAAGAATAGCATAGCTTGTATATATAATGTTGATTCATCTTAATTCTTGTAGTAAAATAATTGTACATACAATAACATCGCAACTGCTACGCAGAAAGCAATGCAGCTAAAGACAACCAAGGAAAAAAAAAAAAAAAAAAAAAAAAAACACGGGAGGATAAACCTGTGAAGGCCAGGGGAACATCGCTCTCTCTACCTCTGCTGCTATGATACAGAATATGTTAACAGGCGAATCGCTCAACCCTCAATTACATGCTAGATAGATCAGTAGCACATAATAATCACATTATTTCTAAATGTTACAACTCTCAATCATTATCAGAGACCCCTTACCTTGAAAGAAAAAAGTCCTCTTCAAGTATCATCAAGCACTAATGATATATACGGAGTATGTGCGTCCTCTACAATCTATGTACAATCCCGTTCAGCTAGTTTTTCCTACCTATCGAAAGGAAAATCCATATCATTTTCAGTGACCTTGAAAGATTGAGGATGCTTGTCTGTGCAATACAAATTCCACATCTTGAAAAAAGCTCTCTCAAGGTTCTTAACCTGGGAATCCCAAGTGAAAAAGTTAGTCAGTCGTCAATAACACAGAGAGGGAGGGAGGGAGGGAGGGAGGGAGAGAGATCTCACCCAACGAGTAGTGTCGAACAGTGGGCAAGTCAAACGGATAGCCTTCAATTGATTTCTAAGGGCCTGGAGTTTCGAAGGATTTAATGCCAGTGAAACTGCCCGCTCTTCATACTCCTCAATACTATTAATACCAAGAGCAGTGGGGTCAGAGGGAGATCAGAGCTCCTCATAACAGCCCAACTTAATTAGCAAGGCAACAAAATTTTTGCACATTACACAACTTAATGTAGTTTGTCATGCCCATTAACTGATAAATCTGTCTCAGAAGGGAAGACCCTTATCCAAACTATATACATATCCACTTTATAGGATGTGAATATGATAATGTGCATAGGAATAATTTGGTAACACGAGGAAAATGCAATAATACAACTAATCTATTAAATCACTTTAATACCATTAATGGTTACCTGTCCACTATCATCTCCTCTCCAAGTCCAGTAGCAAGACAAAGTGAGCCAGCAACTCTAGTAGCCATTTTCTCAAGAGGCAAAGTAATCATTGGTAAACCAGCCCAGAGGATATCTGTGCCAGTAGTGTGTCCATTACACAAGGGCCTGGAAGACAACATTCATGCGTCAACCAAAACTGAAGCAAGATTAATCAATAGTATGAGACTACCCAATAATAAAAGAAAAACAGGAAAAACTGTTACGTGTCCAAAAATAGATCAGCCAAAGCACTGCGTCTGATGTGCTCGGTTTTTACAGCAACACCTGTAAATATAAGCTGATCTTGCCCTACTCCTTGAGCAGCAGCATCTGTAACAAATGAAGAATAATGATGATTAACAATAAATTGATGGTGGCCTGCAGACAGAGCAGGCATGAATATACTTTCTAAAGTTGGGAGAAAAGCGCTTTCTAGTGAAATTAATTATGGTCAGTAATACAGTCGGAGCAGGCGTAAGTGTGAAGGTACTTTCTAAATTTTGGAGAAAAGCACTTTTTAGTTGAAGTAATTATGGTCAGAACATTCGTATACATGATAATTATCGAAGAAAAAAAAAATTCCTTTTCAAGATAAGGAATAAAACCAACTTACATGCACGTAGTCTTGATTCTCCAGCGGCCGGAAATTTCAAAAGCCACAAGGCACTGTTTGGTACAGATTTGAGAATATTGCACCTTGAAACAAATGGCAAGATATCAACTGTTATTTAGAAAAGAAGTGATTGCATAATAGAATAAGTTAAGACAAAAATTGCTGTAGGTAGCTATGCATATTATATGAAATGAAAGAAAATCGCAAATGTACCACGCAGTGAAGATTTCAGGATCCATTTTGTATAGTTGATTGAAGCATGCGAACAAGAATTTGTCTTCTGGAAGGCCATAATCTGAACGTTTGGGGTGGCAATTTGGATCCAATAGATCTCTATTTTTCTGAGTAAAAAAATAAAATAAAATTATATGCCGAATTAGCTGAATAATTACTCTTGAACAAGACAAAACAAAGGTATCCAAAAAGGCAGGAAACACAACCTGTTTGTAATCATTTACAAAGTAGCAATGAGGGAGATGAACGAGCTTCTCGGAGTAAATATGAGCAGAACAGAAAGGAGATACAAACTGGAATGGAGGAGTAAAAATATTACTTATTAGCATTTATGAAGGGGAGAGGCAAAAAGAAATAAGATCAATGTAACATGCACTAGTCAACATTCGCAGCAAAAGAACTTTTCCCTCCGACCTCGTCAGTAACCAGATAGTCAATGTATGATGCACCCATCGTTCCTGGAAAGCCCATGTATGAAACCTGAATAGGTGCTGGTTTCATGGCAAATATCTCATTTCTGGCACCCTGTGTTCACATGAAAGGAATGAAAAAGAAGAAAATTTGAGAGGCTCCTGCTGGGAGTAATGCAAATGAATTCTGATAAATGATGACAGATGATGAATTATACTTACCTTGGTGTAGCCATTGAGGTTCACAAGAATTTGTATGTTATCTTCGTTAATTATTTTGGCAATCATATCTGATGACATAGCGGAAACATCCACAAAATGCTCAGCTTCAGATTGAGTTCGTTGTCTCCACTCAGTCCCATCATTAGGGCTCAATGCATAGCAGAAAACCTGAAGAGTAAGCTTTATCTCATTACCACAAAAAAAGCACAGAAACCAAATAGAAAAAACAGGTAGAAACTATACTTCAGGAGATAGCCACAGACATAGTGACATACCTCAACATGTTCTCTATTGTGCATACCAAACACAGAACCCATCAGATGTGAAAGAGGATGGTTACCGAAGTCACTGCTCACATAACTGCAAAGCCCAAACACATATTATAAAGATGGCACCAGAAACTCCAATTGATATGACACAACTAGATCATCTGACATACCCAACCCTAAGCCTCTGATAGCCACCTTCACTCTTGACTGGAATAGGATGAGGGTGCTTAAAGGGAGACAGCGCATAACGTGATGCAACCACTGAGCAGTGCTGCGCATACTTGCGGCTAGAAGATGGAAGATATAAATTAGACCTCAAGTTAAAACTTCCTGTTGACAGAGATCGAAAAGCAAGGATACCTGATTTCAAGAGCCAGCGCTGGATCAAGAGGATATGCAATTGCATGGAAAGGCTGTACACTGGGAAGAACTGACATCTGAAATCAGATTCAGTATAATCAAAAGTAAAGTTAGCTGAATACTTCCACGTTTTATACAGCATTAACAATCCCGGGGTAGATACAAAGAAAATTACTTCTAAAAAGTGCTTCTCTAACCTTAATTTGTCGTTTGATTATTCCCTCAACTTCAGCAAACATTTTGTCTTTATCTTCCCAGCTGCAAACACACTGTAAGAAAAGTGACAAAATTAATAGTTACATCTGACAGAACTTTCAATATAACTAGCAATGGAAGTTGAGCATGAATGCATTCACCACAGGACGGGAACAAGAACATACTCCAATTTAAGCATCAAAAAAATCCTTATGCCAAAACACATGGAAAAACTCTGAATAATGCTAAGTATCTCATGATCGTATAATCCGATTGTAATTAAAAAAAAAGTTGTAAAATATGAGAAACACTGAATTTACTAGTATACATTATCCTTGCACTAAGCCATGAGTTGTTTTCAAATTGACCTAAATACTTCACAGCAGAATCTTTCAATTTACTTTCTATTCTAAACTACCTTCATCTCTCACTAGTACCTGTAAAGTGTGGAGAAGATTACAAGTTGCTTCTGGGAAATCTGGGCGTAATTGCAATGCTTGTTTGTAGCTTTTAATAGCTGCCTCCACATGTCCACTGCAGGACGAATGCTCCATGTATTACTAATTAGCTCAGCGACAAAACTATAAGTATATTTGTAGTAGTATTATTCTTACCTGTCTTTATAAGCTGAAGCCAGATTAGCATGTGCTTCAGCCATGGTTGGTCGTATGTTGATAGCATTAATATAATCCTGGAGTGCTTCAGTCACTCTTCCAAGCTCTTTATAAGTATTTCCTCTGTTCACAAGCCCATCAGCAGCCATTGGATCAATACGTAAAACCTCGTTGTAGCAAGATATAGCATCTGCATAATTTCCCTATAAAAAAGGAAAAATAGTCAGGAGGACTAGAGTGTAAGAAAATCAGATATAAACAAATAAGGAACCAGATGATCAAATTACCTGCTGTTTATAAATAACTGCCAGATTGTTAAAGGGAGCAGATAATCCAGATGTGACACTCAAAGTTGCCTTATAATAAGTAGCTGCCACTGCCACCATATTCCTGATCACAAAATATATCTGCTAGTAAAAGCTGTACGAGACATATCCAAACAAAAGCCCAAGGAATATAAAAAGACTAATAAAGGAAAACGAAGAGAAGTTTTACCATTCCATATAAATGTTTCCAAGGTTTGTTAAAGCTTGAGGGTGATGGGGTTGTATTGATAGACATTGCTAAACATAGAATAATAAATCATTTTATAAGATGAAAACACTCAGTAAGTGTGAATCCAGGATAATATACATTTTTTCAGCTGAAAAGGCTTACATTATAGCATTGAATTGCTTCATCAACTCTGCCCACATCTTTAAGTGCATTACCCTTAACCAAGAGAACATAAGAAATCAGGTCCAGTAACATGAGAATATGCAGAATATACATTCTGATTCCTCACAATCAACAGGTATCCAGAAACAAACCAAATTATTATAAGCCTCCAGAAATCCCGAATCACAATTAATGGCCTCTTTGTAATGAAGAATTGCCAAATCCAACTGCCCTTGCTCATAATACGAACTAGCCAAATTACCTGGCATTGGTGAGACCACAATGCCATGTCACAAACATACAATTATTTTGGTGGAAATTTCAAAAAATATGCATTGAGTTCATAATATAAATAAAACCAAAATAAACCTTTGTGCAATCAAATATCCCAACTTGAAATTGAAGGCAACAGAACATAAACAAGGAACTGCGTATTTATAGCATAAACATAACAAATCTTTTTAGTTTATGATGAAGAATTTCATATGTAAATTAGGACAGTTAACATTTATTTATATATATTTGGGGGAATATTCTAGAGTTTAATAATACCTATTATATAAGGGGTTATAGGAATGTACTTCTATCTTAAATAAGAGTTGAGTAAATTGATTCTTTGAGTTTCCGCAAAAACTTGTGCGAACTTGTGAGAATCATATTCATAAGTATGATAATGAACTTTTTTAGTTTAGATCCGTTTGTCTCTAAATTAACATCCAGATTTTGTGAAAGTCCATTTGACGTTAGAAAAAAGGGGGCCACTCTTACATATGTTTCCAGTGCCAACTCCCAAGGCATGTGTGGATATGCCAAGGGCCACTCTTTCTGCAAAATAAATCCTTCTAATGGTTTTTACACAATTTTTTACAGGATCTCTATAATAACCCCTTCACCTCATTACTAAAGGTATTGGCTTTGAATAAAAGGGTATTTTCAATACCATGTCTAAAGATTCAAGTGTCCACCTCTATATTTTCAAGATAATCTATAAAAATAGAGGGGAAAGAAGATATTTAAAATTAGAATAACAAAATGTCATTTATGTGCAACAAGGTGGAATAGGAGCATAGCTAATATAATTTCCTAAACACAGCAAACTTCTACCAATGGACAGGGCCTACCTTAAAGTGCAAGCTCTGTGGTTTGTAGAGCAAAATTGGACTTTTATCCATTAGACCATGGTAGGAAGCAATTAGCTAATGTCTTCGAAAGCTTGAGTTAAAAAAAAAACGTAATTCCATCCATAAAAATGGGTGTAAAAAGCATTGTCAATTTTGGGAAGAAACAACCAGAACATTTTTTTTTTTTTTTTGAACAAGAAACAACCAGAACATCACAATAAAAAAATCATTGTTATAACTTTTTAGGCCAAATTAGAAAATAACACCCAAAAAAAACCCCGATTTTGATAATAACACCACTCAAAAAAAAGTTTTATTATAACACCACCAAAAATCCCAAAATTTTGGTTTCACCACGCACTAATGGATTTTTGGATGGAAACCGTTAGTGGGACCCTATGGACACGTGTCAATTGGGTATTGGTTTAAAAAAAAATTAAATAAAAAAAAAGAACACCCTAACCCAGCCACTAGCCTTCCACCGGCAGCCCAATCCTAGCCGCCGGACGCCAATCCTCAGCCGCCAACACCCTTTGTCCCACCAAAACCAGCGAAATCAGGCCAACATTCGCCCTCATAACTGGCGACAAACATCCTAGTCCTATCAACCGCCGCGAAAATGAAATCCACCGCATAATTCGCCGCCATTTTGGTTTCTGGGTACGGGTTTGGGTTTGGGTATGGGTGTGGGTTGGGGTTTCGGCGGTTTGGCGACGGTTTTGAGTAGGGAGAGGAGTTCGACAAAAGTTGTGGGTGTGATGTTGTTTCGCTGGCTTAGGTAGGGGTTATAGTGGTTCGGCGACGGTGTGGGCTGGGGTTTCGACTGGTTTAGGTTGGGGTAACGGTGTTCAGCGAAGGTGTGGGTTGGGGTCACGGTGGTTCGGCAACGGTTTCGGAGCTTCGCCGACGATTTCAGGGGCTGGGTATGGGTGGGATCGGCGCCGGTGGTGGAGGTGGCTAGCTGGGTTAGGGGGTAAGTTTATTTATTTATTTATTTTTAATTTTTCTTTTTTTAAACCAATAAACAAATGACACGTGTACATGACGGGCCCCACTAACGGTTTCCATCCAAAAATCCGTTAGTGGGTGGTAAAACCAAAATTTTGGGATTTTTGGTGGTGTTATAATAAAACTTTTTTTTTAGTGGTGTTATTATCAAAATCGGGGGTTTTTTTAGGTGTTATTTTCTAATTTGGCCAACTTTTTATAAAATCTCAAAACTATTAACAATGATAAGAAGTAATTGAGGCAGATAAAAAATAGCTAGAAGCTCACCAAATGCCATTGCATAGTTTGGTCGTGCCTGAAGAGCATGCTGATAGCACGTTACAGCTTCTTGAGTCATTCCCAAAGCCTGTAAAAAGTAAAGATAAGGGAATAATTTTTCTTCATGCACCAATCAGTTGACTAACCTACTCAACATCATAGCAATAAGCACTACACAGTACACACCAATTTACCTTATAAACATTTCCCAAGTTTAAATATGCATCAGGAAAGGATGGTTTAAGTTTCACAGCTTCCTGAGGAAAAGAAAAAATTAAGGTCATAAGTGATTCTTCTGATTAAGGAAAAAAAAAGGTACATTCTTAATCTGCACACAGGAGTAGACAAGAAGTAGGGAAAGAAAGGGAAATAAATGAGATCTAACTACCTTGTAATAGTGAAGCGCCCGATTAAGATCACCCGATTCCATAAAAAGGCCAGCAAGATTTGACCATGCAACCGCAAAAGTTGGTTGTATACGTAAAGCCTCAAGATAGCAACTATATGCCTGCACAAAAATAGATTCTAGAATGTGGAGTCTCGGTGATGGAAGTAACAACAAGACCAACCAACATCTGAGCCTGCCCTGTAGCTAAGAATTGGTATCTGTATTGGACTGTAAATCAAGACAGTTAAGGACATGTATTACTCTCATCAGTAACTCTACTGGTGATTAAGGTGAACAGAAATATAAAAAATAATGAGAGCCACATCTCCTGTTATAATGACATCTACCATTTTAAGCTCTTCAAAAAAAACCAATAGGGTGAGCATTTAAGGAAATCAACTGAAGTATGAAGTATATGGGTTAAGAATAGCATGGAGCTGGAAAACTAAAACCCAAAAAGTAAGAGAAATGCTTTAAGCAGACATAGGCTTATAAGATAAATTTTTTAAAAGAATTTTGAAAACCAGTATACAGTAAGTCCAAAATTGACAGACTGGATGAGATGGAAGAGGAGAAGCAATTTAGAGTCCATGGTAGATGGAGATGGAGATTACTGCTAGATAACATAATCTTAAACATTACACATTGGTGTGGTCAATCTATAGGTAACAGACCACCAAAATCAGCATCGGTTTACAACAAGCATTTACCTTCAACAAGTACAAGCACTTCACCCAGGACAACTTTCCTCCTCACACCCACCCAATAAATTTAAGGAAAAGAAAAAAAAGAATGAAAACAGCTAGATGCAACTTGAAATAAGAGCAAGAATACAACAATAAATCTTATCTTTGATATTGACCAACATCTTATCAGACAAACTACAAGAAAGCACAGCTATATTCATCACTTTAACCATGAATAATTAACATATCTCTTTAAAAGAAAGGAGCAATAAATATTAAAACACAGCACAGTGTAGGACTTACTTCTTGCACTAAGCCTTGTGCCTTCATTAAATTCCCAAGGTTGCTATGTGCATCAACCTGATCAAATGCACAGAAAGTTTAGCCAAGATATGCCATTGAAATCCAGACTTTTGACTTTAAACCATATTTGACAATGGTTGACACGGGGGTGGCGGGGTGGGGGGGAGGAAGAAGGAAGAAATACAAAGCTGTGGCATTCAGGAACAAAGATCTAACCAAAAGAGGATTTAATGCAAGAGCCTGGCGGCAACATTGGGCTGCCTCATTCAATCTCCCTTTACGCATGTACGCACTAGCTAAGTTCGACCAGGCATCCGCAAAATTTGGCCTGAGCTGTAAGCATAATGTAAAAGAAAAATCATTGAACGTTAGGAACTAGAAAACAAGATTTATATAATAAATTTTGGGAAAAAACAAGATTTGACTGGGTCACTTTAAAATCAACATCTATATAGGTTTATGTTAAACACAATTAGGCTGAAATGGATATTTCTTTAACAGAGAAAATCATCAGGTTTGGTAAAAATTAAATGCTGAAATAAATTCTAGCTACATTGAGAAACAGGGCACCACCGCACAGGACACAACGTCAATCAGCAAATTTGATCTTCATGTCATTAGAGTAGTGATTAAAAATTATCTTTTTTTTTTAAAAAAAAAAAAATAAAAAAAAAAAAAATTTAACTAATAAAGCTTATCTAAATACCCCAATCTTAAACTTGTTTCAACTAATAAAGCTTAACTATAAAGCATGGTTTTCAGATATAGTCAGAATCCCAGTAATGGTCATGAATCCACTTTTGCAGGCAATGCAGGCGGTATGCAGCTGTTGCAGCCTTGTATTTCAGTCGCAGCAAGCTCTAATTCTTTTACAATTCGCTTTTTCATTGCGGCGATGTTGCCAAGGTTCAATACCATAGCCCTATAGATTAAGCGATCTTGTGTGAGCTTATTGGCCCTTAACTTAACTTAGCTGAATTTATTGTAGTTGTGATTTGAGAATTGATTTTGGGTAACCTTTATAAGCCCTGAACTAAATTTACTGGCCTTAAACTTAACTTCTTTGAATTTAATATCCTTGAACATAGCTTAATTGAACTTATATTACTGAAATTAGTCAAAGTAAAGTGATAGGAACAGAGTTAGAGACATGGTTTCTTTAGTTTAACATAGGATCTAACAGGGTATCTAGGATCTTCACTCTGTCTCCACAAATCCACAATGACATCCTGTTTGACTTTTCAATTTTCATAGTACAAATTCGTACGCATAATTGATGCGTCAGGTTGACAAATAGTGTACAAGTATGTCATTAGCAAGGGTATGTATTTATTTAATAACAAGATAAGACAGACTAAGATTTTAAAAAGGACCAATAATCCAGAAAGTTTCCATATCTAAGTTGGACTTGGATTCTTTTCTGACCATCAACTTGACTTAAGTTTCTCCGGAGAGCATAGAAGAAGATTTGTGCTTCCACTTTGATACAAACCATAAGTAATAACAAAATTCCATTTCAAAACAAATCAAAGGTCAGCCTGATCAGCCGCACAGCATAATATGCATATATCAGGTATGCCACTAAGAACATACCTCAATTGCAATTAAATAGTAGCGGATTGCAATATCAACATTTCCTTTTTCCTGTAAGAAGCATACAGAAATCAAGAATTGAAGTCCATGAGCCATTCCAGCCATTATATATATTTAAAGCTTAATAGATCTCATGTCAATGCATTATAAACACCTTCCATGCATTTGCCATATTGCCAAAACACTCTGCAAAATGGGGCTCAATTTGTATAGCCTCTTCATTTCTAGTAATGCACATATCAAAATCATGCAGCTGCAAAATGGCAAAACAAATGGTAAGGACCAGCTGACGTCTGTTTAAAAATTAAACTAGAAACACAACCAATATTGAAGAACAATAACCTGATAGTGTATAGCACCCAAAAGAAGAAGATTATCTGTCCGTAATGGATTTCTCTCATAGACAGTATTACTATGCTCCAAAGCCTGCTTATAGTCACCACTCTTGTACAACTGATGTGCAGCACCCAGCAACATGTCTTCTTCTACATCCAATCCAATAATATTAAAGTGAATGTTAGCACAACATAATCGCGAATAATGCAGTCTTCCTTCACCTACTCACAAACTGAAGCACCATAGACTGGCTGTAAATTTGGCACTAGTTTTCAGAATACCAGTGAGCAAGAAGCCCATCCAATAATAGGCTTCCCACTCAGACACTAACCCCAACTTTTCAACATCCCAAAAACTCACTCCCATGATTGGTCCACAAGTTTGATATACATTTTGTAATAATAGCTAGTAAATAATGAAAAGCTTGAATCTTTTTTTGAAGAAACATCATAAGATGTCCAAGATTCAAAACTATCACATAATCCACCATGGTCCTGTCACATAACTTTAATTCATTCATATACAATGACCCCTTTGCATCATAATTCATAATTTCATACCCCTTTTGTCCCAAATAAATTGCCACTCTTTTCTTTCCTTTACTTCCGTCCCAATTTAGATGTCACTCTTCTTTTTACGGCATGAACTCACTAATACGAAGTATTTAATTACCCATATATTCCCACCACTAACAGTCCAATAGTTATGGTTCCGCACCCTCTAAAGTATAAAACAATATACAAAGGTTGGTCCGTTGGTGTGACGATCAAATTAGGACCGAAGTAATATCTAATTTAAGTGCCAAGAATATCATTACCTGAAAGATTATTATAATAAAATAACATAAAAAAACTTCTTTTAGTTCTTCCACAATCAATTATAAGGATAGTGGCTAGATTAGTGGTTAAAGTATTGGAGGATGGAATCGTCCCCATAACATAACATCAATTCTCGTCTACCTCACTGCCCTTCACGACTCTCTATACACACCCGAAACATGAAACGAATATACTATTAATCATCTCAAGATTCAGAACAATCCCCCCCTACCCCAAATTAAAAAAAAAAAAAAAATAAATAAATAAATAAAACAACATTATGAAACCAAGAATTCAGATATCATAATTAATTCATAAACAGCAAAAAAAATTGACAATAATAAAAAAATAAAAAAAAAAATGGAGGAAGAAGAAAACCTTCACGAGACTCAGCGCCCTTAAAATGGTTCAAATTAATATTAGAAGAAGAAACATCGGATTTAGCATCAAACGCCAAATTCGACAGCTGCAATTCATTCTTATTATGATTATTACTATGATTATGAAGCTGTTGCCGCGATTCGCTTCGCAACGAAATCATCGTTGATTCCGAAACCCTAACAACAACATCAACAACAAATTGATCACAAACAAATTAACCAAAAGCACAAAAACCCACTAATCAATAATTTCATCAATAAATCATGAAATTAAAACTTACAGATTCTCTATTGAAAAATCAAGGAAGAACAAAGAAAAAAGATAAAGATGGAAGTTCTAGGAAAGAGGTGAAGATGGTGTGAGAGTCAGGGGAAGAGAGTAAAATGACGCCATTTGTCGGAAGGAAAAGAGGAGAGAGAAATGGAAAATTTAAGGAAGAAGAAGGAGAAATCGGGGGCGTACACGTGTAGGGTGGAGAAAGATTGATAGTGTTGGTGTTACCTGAAATCCTGAATTACATACGTACTTGGCTTTGTATAAACACAAAGTTTTGTCTAGTACAGTACTTCGTGTGAATCTTCCTAAGTTCGATTTTGTATTTTTGTACTATGTTTTCCTATTTTTTTTTCTTTTTCTCCTCCACATAAATAAATTCTTCTTCTTTTTTTTTTTTTTTTAATTTATATGTTGACATTTAAGGAATAAATTCCATATTATCTTTGCATGATGAAAGTTATTCTAATTAGTGAAATAAAGTAAATTTTAGGAAAAATTAATAAAAATAATCCGAATTATTGACTATCTTCTCATTTTAATCCAAACTACTCTTTAACTTAGAATAAACCAAAGTATAGGAGGCAGTTGTTCATATTAGTTTAATCAAGTAAGCAGCTGGTTAAATTAAACATGTGGGGCCCGCTTTTAATTGTTTTTAATTGCATTTACTCCTAATTTCATTTTTTTGGTTCCTCCTTTCAAAATTAAACCATGTCTACATACTAGGAAGTAGGGGGGAACAAGCAGTAATTGCTGTGATTTTCTCTTTGGTCATAGTTGCTTACAACATATTCTTTAGAAGTTAATTTGGTGTAAGACACTTTGATTAGGGGAGTAATATGATGTTGGCTTTTTTTTTTTTTTTGGGTGGTATTTAGTTGGTCGGATCAATTTGGGATACACTTATGCCAATTTTGTTGTTTGTTTTTTTGTTGGTGGCATAAATGTGGTAGTACATGGTAGATGAACAATGTAACGGATGTTTTTAATTCATTTGAATTGAAATAAACAAGAATTACGTTATATTTCTGAAATTTTCATAACATTGTATTATGTCTTGATAATTTCATCATTCCAAATTTCAAGTTCCAGAAGGGCATAAAAACTTACCTTACATATCAAAATTCATAACAAAAGAAATGTGATCTTACAAAATGATCCAACAATTCTAGTCAAAATGATCACATACAAAGATCAAAATTACATAACCTAAGTATTATTAGTGTAAAAATTGCACACTACCATCATCATTGAATAATACTCCACTCCCGGTAGGCATATGTTGCATTAACTTACCAATGTTCGTCTCTTCTCGCCTCGCATAAGCTCAGTGAATATCAAAGTATGTATTTCGCCATTAAGCTCCAATAACATGAACTGCAATTGAAATTTTAATGGAATATTAGAAGCAAGGAAATACATAATTGGATATTAAGGAGAGAAAAAAAAAAAAGGAAATTTACAAAATTTGATGACATAATTTGAAGATAAAAGGTCATACATTTTGATGAAGGCACTTTCATGGAGGAAACCCCTCAGAAAAGGCACGATTGGTACTCCACTATAGTTTGGGTGGTGATAGGAGAGAGGAGGAGTAAATGCAATTAAAAATAAAAGTGGGCCCTACACATATAATTTAACCTGTTTATCAGGTTGCTAAATTAGATTGTGTATTTGATATTAAAAGCTTCTTTAAATTAGCAAAAACAAACAAACACACACAAGCTTTTTTAAGTCAACAAAAAGTTTTTGGCTTAATTAACACGAGCTTGATACCGATTCAAACAACCTCTCTAGGAGGCAAACTATATATTACAACTCCAATATTACTAAACTCCTTAGCCCAATTCCACAAAAAGGGAAATCTTGACTCCCTCTTGCATCCCAACCCAAAATCCTATCCCACTAGCAAATATATCAACAAACACAATCTTTTCACCACCAAACATCTTCATCCTTGTAACACTAAGCTCATTTCAAGCCACCCCAAGCACTCCATTGCTTCTTTCATGCCCTCTTTAGACTCTTTCAGTCTTTCTCATCACCGCACAAGGCCTTAAGGGGGTATTATTCCCATCAGAGGGGGAACTTTTACCAAGGCCATTTCGGCCTATTCCCCAATAAATTATTGTAATTAATTAATTAGTTAGTGAACTTAAATAACCTTATTTTACCTATAAAATATTAGGACATAGTGATTAGTTTTGAACGAGAAATAAAATATTCAAATCCTGGCACCTCTAGTATTTTTGACCAAGATTCGCTATTGATTCCCATGTTTCATCCCGGCCCCTCTTTTTGTTAATAGGGTTGTACATGTATTCTAAGAGACAGAGTTGAATGCTCTTGTTAGTAAGGTATTCTTCTATGTTTAAAAGGATACCCTTAAGTTTTAGGGCAATTTGAATATACAATGACTAAAGGGACTTGCCCATCTTCCTAAAAGCTTCACCTTTTTCACTAGCCATTGGAATATTATTTTGTTTCCTAAAAAGTAGATGGATTGGTTTATCCTAATTGTTTTCAATATAAATGGAGATACCTTAGTATCATAAGCATATTATATATTTGCAATATATATATTGTATTATATTTATATAGTTTGTGTTAATTTAATGATACTTTACAAGGAGAATGTGACATGATTTCATTCATGATTTCATCTTTTTTAAAATGACATGGTGGGTGATCTCATTCCACTCAAGGAAAATGTTGTTATGGATTACTGCTATACAAATTTGTTCATTTGTTTGGTTAATTTTATTTGGCACATGGTTTCCACTTTGTTGGGTACAAAGTAATCTCCTTTGGAGATTTCTTCTTAGTTAAATATAGTCAAAATGACTTCATCTTTCTATCCAAAATCCAAACAAGATCTCAATTGTCCAAAGGGAATGGAAATCTTAAAGAAGCAGCATAAAATAAAATGAAATATTGTATCAATATCACATGATGATTACTAGATATGTAGGTACGAATTGTATAAAATATACAATTATCAATTCAACTATTTTCTGAACCCTACTTAATTTTCGTAAAATAAGTGAAAATAATTTATATAGAACGTAGTAGTAGTATATGGGGTTCAATATGATGATTAGGCTATTCAAGAATGCAAGTCATACCCTTTGATCCACGCATTGGAGCCGAAATTCTTACATAATATTTATTAAACTACAAATTAGATAAACAAACAGAACCAGAAAAAAGAGTTCAAGTTAATGTGAGATGTAATCTGTTAATTAGCTGAATTTTCAAGCAATATGGACCTCATTATTTCATATATATACAAGTTTTGAGGATAGCTTAGCTGCTTATTGTAATTGATACAAGGATATTCTGCCCTGCTAAACAACTATAATTTCTAGATACAAAAGAAAATCTGATCTGAAAAAAAAGGAGTAAAAATCTACGACTGTAATGGTTCATCTTTATAACTGACATCCCTACTCGGGAAGAGATTATAGTGACCTTCTTGATCATTAGAATCAATGAGCATTGACACAACAGCCCGCATTGTGGGGCGGTCGTGAGGAGACATACTAGTACACAACAAAGCAATCTTTAAGACCATTGTCATATGAGCAACAACACTCTCATCTTGTAAACTTAATCTAGTGTCAAAAATACCAGTCGATAATGAGTTCTTCTTGACATAGTTTCTGACCCATGAAACCAGATCACCCCCATCGTCTATTGGCTGTACAGGGGTTTTTCCTGTCAACAGCTCCAGCATGACCACGCCGTAGCTATATATGTCACATTTTTCTGTGACTTTCATGGTGTATGCATATTCTGAAATTAAAAGGAAAAATACTTGCATCAGCAAACTTGATGCAGCAAATGCATATTCAGAAATTATAATAAGATTCTAACCAACGCCTTAATAGCTATGGATCATGCAGCAAAAGATTTTACCAATGTATAAACACATGTAATCATATATGCTATGAAAAAGAAAGAAATAATGGAGAAAGAACATACCGGGAGCAATGTATCCATATGATCCAGCAATCGCAGAAACTGACTTGGAATATGGCATGTCAACTACTTTTGCCAAGCCAAAATCTCCAACATGAGACTCAAAATTCTCATCTAGTAATATGTTATTGGATTTAATATCACGATGAATAATCCGAGGTTTACAATCATGGTGCAAATAAGAGAGACCTTGTGCAGCACCAAAGGCAATGAGAAACCGGGTTTGCCAATCAAGATTATAGGAATGCCCATGAAGAAGTTCTCCGAGGCTTCCCCTTGGCATGAACTCATAAAGGAGAACATTAGCACCTTCATGAAAGTAGAAGCCATGCAACTTAACTATATTGCGATGCCTAATTTTACCTAAAGTCGAAATTTCAGTCCTGAAACTGTCATTGATGTTTCCATCTTCCTTATTAGATGCCAGCTTCTTTGCAGCAAAAGTTTTACCAGAAGGTAAAACTGCTTTGTACACTTTCCCACAAGCTCCACTACCAATCACAAATCGGTCATGAAAATCATCAGTGGCTGCAAGAAGGTCTTCAAAAGTAAATCCTTCCTTTGGAAAGAAGTACATATCTGAATCAATATCACTGAGGGACTTATCTTCCAATGGGGTAACAATATCGACTGGGCGAGTCATTAAGTATAAAATCACCACAATGAAGAATAGAGAAACACCACCTATAACAGCTGAAATTATAGCAACAATTTTACCAAGACGGAAACCACCCTTTCCAGAATTACCAGGAATTGAGAGTGAAGAGTCGACGTTGCTGCAAGGACCAAGAGGCCCGCCGCAGAGACCCTTGTTGCCAGCAAAACTCGAAAGAGCTGCACCCTGAAAAACAGGCATAGAAGGTATAGGACCACTGAGGTCATTGTAAGAAAAGTTGAACCCGAGTAAACTTAATAGTCTCTGCAATGAGGTAGGAATTTGGCCAATTAACTGGTTGTTACTGATGTAGAGATATTCCAGCAACGCAAGATTTCCAAGCTTTGAGGGGATCTTCCCAGATAGATTATTGTAGCTTATATTCAAACCAATTTGAAGGCTTGATAAATTACCCAATTCTGGAGGGATTTCTCCAGAAAACAAGTTTCCACCCATCTGCAACTCGAATAAACGAGGGAGGTTCCCTATAACTGCAGGTATTCTACCTGAGAACCTGTTGTCAGAAAGCTTCAGAAGCTCTAAATGAGAAAGAGTACCGATATCATCAGGCAAAGTGCCTACAAAATTGTTCCTGCTGAGATCAAGACGTTGTAGCAAGCTGCATTTGAAGATATCAGATGGTACAGGTCCACTGAGTGAGTTCGACGAGACATTAAAGGCCACCAACTGCGTAATCTTGCCAATTGATGCAGGCAAAGCCGATGTGAAGTGGTTGTAAGCCAATAGAAGCCTTTGTAGGTTTTTGCAGTTTCCAATCTCAGGTGGGATTGGACCACTGAAATGATTTACTCCCAATTCAACAGCAGTGAGGTTCACTAACTTGCAGATATCAGTTGGAAAACTTCCAGTGAGACGATTATCATACAGGCGAAGCTGAACCAGTGGTGTGCAGCTGATGATATCAGATGGGATATTTCCAGAAAGCTTGTTTGCACCAAGATTTAACAAAATTAAGTTAGAGTTTCTGCAAAGATTCTGAGGGATTCTTCCTGTCAGATTATTCGAGGAGAGATCAATAACCCACAGCCGGCTACGCAATCCAAGCTCCTGAGGAATTGTACCTCCAAGAGAATTGTTGAAAAGCTGCAACATCAGGAGCTGAGGCAAATTCTGAAATCCTACAGGAATTGTACCTGTCAGAAAATTTATCGAGAGATCGACTTTACTGAGATTCTTCAAGTTTGTAAGCTCCTCAGGGATCACACCTGTTAGCTGATTCTCAAACAGGTAGAGCAATTCTAGCCCTTCTATCTTACTAATTTCAGTAGGAATTTCTCCAGTCAATAAATTTTCTGAAAAATCAATTTCTTTTGCTGCAGAAAGACTCCCAATCTCTTTCGGAATAGTCCCATTCAGAGCATTTCTGTATAGGTACAAACTACTAAGGAACTTAAGATTCATAAGCTCCTTAGGTATTTCACCCACAAGATTGTTCTGATAGAGAGCTAGAGTTTGCAAATATGTGCAATTCGAAAGCTCCCATGGGATAATCCCTGATAACTGATTACCCCAAAGAACCAACTCAGTCAAGTTGCTCAGCAAACTGAGCTCTTTAGGGATGTTCCCACTCAAATGATTTTGAGCAAGACCAAACAACTCCATACTGTCACATCCACCTATTTCTGCAGGAATACTACCAGAAAGGAAATTCTGCCCCACTCTAAACCTTTTCAATTTCTTCAGGTTCCCTATGGAACGAGGCAACGGACCGCTGAGACTGTTAGTGTATGCCACAAACTCTGACAAAGAAGACATTTTACCAAGCACCTCAGGAATAGGCCCAGAAAGCTTGTTGTTGCAGACATTCAGATAGGTCAAAGCTGACAAATTGCCCAACTCTTTAGGGATGTTTCCTTCAAGACGATTGTTCTGCAAAGATAGAGTTTGAAGATTGGAACAGTTCCCAATTTCTTTGGGTATGTTCTTATAAAACCCATTAAAGGACAGATCAAGATGAATCAAATGAACCAATCCACCAATACTAGGAGAGATTGATCCAGTTAGATTCAAATTGCTCAAATTAAGAGATTCTACAACAGGGTTACTATCATTACTACATAATACACCTTTCCATTTACAAGGGTTTTGGTCCATTGGATTCCAATTACCCAGATCATCAAATTCATCAACCACTTTACTCTTCAAATCTAAAAGGTACTGACCCTCCAAATTAAGGCCATTTGTTTGATCACTCAAAAGGGTATTTACAACAAGAAATACAATCAAAATCTTGTAATAATTTGACAAATTTAAACTACCCATTACAAAATTAGTTTCAAAACCCCAAAATCAATACAACCCAATTCACAATTCACCCAAAAGAAAAACTGAAAATTCTGCATAAAAATTACAAAAAAAAAAATCAAGATTAAAGTATATTTACATACAAAATAAACCCAATTTAATCATCCCAAAGTTCTGCAATAAGAACTGTTTGTGAAAAATTCATTGAAAATGAAGTCAATGGTGTAGGAAAGAAGAGAATTTGCATACCTTAAAAAAAACTTAATTAGGCAAAAAGTTTTCAACTTTCTCACAGAAATGATTTTTTGGCAGAAGAAAGTATTTGACTTTGATGAAATTTCACTCAAAAACTTTATCCAATTTGATAATTATTGTTGAAGAAATCAAATTAGAATAAACTTTATCTGATGATTAAGGGGAAGACTGAAAATCCCATCTAATAAAATTGTTAAAAAGACACAATCATTTTGTTAACAATTTATGTGATTGAGAAGAAAATAAAAGATGAAAATGGCCGACAAAGCATGCAAAATCACCATTTATGGGATCCCTCTCATATCATGCCGTCTGAAAAGCTTGGTAAAATATTTTAATGGGTTTAAAAAAGTGGCCAACTCTTCAGATACAGAGGCAAGCAACCCACCAGAAGTGGATATTTGAAGATTATTATAAATACGTTTCTTTTTCTAAAAACAAATTTAAACAAAGTGAGATTTTCCCTCTTTGCTTCGTTTTCAGTACAGGAAAATGACAGATTTTCCCAAAAAGTCACTTTTCCGCCCTTTAGTGATCTCTTAAATTGACAATATTTTAATTAAAAGGCCGCATTGAGGTGGCATTCGCGATTATCAAATCGAGACGTTTGGTTTGGGTACGAGTTGGGTTTATCTGGGGGATTAATTACCTGAAATTGGGTGATGTATGTTTTGATTGGGGAACAGATTGAGTTTGAGTAACTGTGGATTTATCATCCTGCTTTTGATTTTGGTCGAGTCAAGTTTAGTTCAGATCAATTTCAGGTCATCTAATTTCAAATGACTAAAATAACTTTTACTTATAAATTAGATAATTCAAGTCAAGTTTGTTTTATCTTGTCTAGATCTCATGGACGCATGTCTACCATCCAAATTAAAGTTTACCCAACTCTAATCGATTTACACAAAAAATGAATCAGACAAATCTTCGCCTAATTTTCATAACCTACTTAACAATAGATTTTATCATGTATTTGACTCAATCTAAACCAAATCACTCTTCACTTGAATTTGATCCAATCTAATTTAACCCAACCTAAGCTTAAACTAATTAATGCATTTATCTCCTACCTCTAATCCTATTAATTTAGTTGAATTAATAATTACTAAATAACCAATCAAATAAGATGTTGTTTGTCGTCGTATTATTAGAATTATCTCAAAAAACACATGATATTTGTAATTTTAAACCAAAGTCGAATAAATGCAAATATGCAATGTAGTACAAAATAACAGTTAGTAGGCCAAAAAAACTAGGAATGAAAATATTGTTTATAGAGTCAACAAGTCAGAGATTTGTAGGTCGAATGGAATTAAGTCAAGACTTGTAAAACAAAGTCAAAAACAATAGCGTAGAAAAGCCAAGTTGACAAGTTCTAGTACAAGTAGCAAGTTGAATATTCAGTAAACTAGCATACTCCAGCAAATAAATTGGACTATGTCATTGTAGTGCTAAAATAACACATTTTAAAAAAAAAAAAAAAAAAAAAAAACACCCCCTACTATATGCTAATCAGCCTTGCAACTTGGTGATGTATGGCCCTTGCGACTTGGTGATGTATGGCCTAAGGAAATAACGAATGCAACTCACTAATCGAGTCAAACTCCAAGGCCAAGTTGAAAGTATAGTTTAATTTACAATGGATATCTCAATTGGTAGTTCAAACTATCCTATTACAATTTTGGCATGTAATAATGACTAAAAATATCTCAATTAGTCCAAGGATATATTCAGGGGACATTGTCAGTGCCCAAAATTTTCTAATGTTATGTACTCGTATTAAATTGTTATTTTTAGTAACCAAAAAGTATCTGGCTGAGCTGATTTCATTGATGCTCATTATGTTGTATCCAAGCTTTAGATTAATAATCGTCATATTCCAAACTTAAAGCATTCTACTTAACTAAGTCCAATCATATTTAGTGTAAATACTAACCTCAAAATGCAATGACTAATCTTGCACAAAAAGATATTAAGAATTTTTTTTTTTTTTTTTTTTTTTTTTGTAAAAAATGGAGAAAAATCTCCACTAGAATACAAATGAATAACCATAGCTGAATATGAGTATCTTATGCCATTTAATTTTTGCAGTGAAAGGGGAAGATGGAAGATCTTTTCCATGAAAGAGTTAGATGATCTCCCTTCTCCCTACCTTATCTAATGGGAAGTTGGACGAGAATAAGGCAAAAATAAGAAGAAAAAAAAGACACAAATGGTAAGCATGATTTTGCTTTAATTGTTTTTAAACTTTTTATGCATATGAACTTCACATCCTACAAGAAATAAACATGAATAGCATTTGGTTTACTCCATCTGTTTCTTTTTTATTGTTACGTTTTCACGGTTATTAAGAAAATGGATATAATGAATGCTTATAATTGATATATAATTTTCTAAACAAATTTAACATAATAGTTTAGGATTAAAATGAGAATAATTGCTTTGGAATTATATAAATATGTAAAACATAACAAATAAAGGAAAAATATCAAAAACGAAATACGGAGTATGGAACAACAGAGTACAATATATTTTATTTTATTTTGGCAAGGTGTAACTAATTAAGTATTTAGTCTTTGATAAAAATATATATACGTAAGGTTTAGGCACTCTATAGCACACACCACTTTGGTGGTGACAAAGGTTTAAAATTAACTTCCACGGCAGAAGCAAATTTATAATTATAATTGGAATTGGATCTAAAAATATTGTTTCTGACTTTTTCACGACAAATGCAATCTGACCAATAATTTTAGGGCACATGGTTTTATAATTAAGCAATCCACCAAACATTCATTATTTTGTTGAATAAAAAGGTTCTGAACTTTGGGCTTCTACCATTTAAATAAAGTTCGATCACTATCAACATACACCTCCCCTTTCCCCTCCCTTGAGGTTCACTGTTCATCTTATTTTCTAAAACTTTGACTCTTAAATGTGCTTAGGAATTAAATATAATGCTTAGGAATATTTAATGAACCCAAAGTGAAAATTATTAATGTCTCAACTATATTTAAACCGTTCAAAAATAAAAGTGTTGCATCTGGTTTAAAAAAAAAAAATCTAGTAAGAATAATGACAATAACATGTTTGAATTTGATGTTTCACTCAATCTTATTCCCTATTTTATTTATTTATTTCTAATCGTAGCGCCGTACTCCATATTTTTTTCAATGGGGAAGATGATATGATAAGAGTAATATATTTATTTGCTTGGCAAGGTGTATTCATCAATGCACCCATACAGTTCTATGATTAATTAGTTATTCGCAAATAAACAATCAACATTATCCGATTACTTAAAATACTACTACAGGATTATGACATACATGATAATTACATAATACTACGTATACATAACACATTAGGTACATTGATACACAATTAGTCAATTACACAAACCAAGCATATACCATACATGGCAAGTTGACAACATATATTGTGACAACCTGTAGCTGTGTGACAAGAAAATGGTAAGACGCTCCATTAATGCAGGAAATCGACGAAGAGTCCAGCAACTATTGCTAGCACTTGCGGTTGCTCCATTTGGATCATGAAGTAGCACTTGAGCCAACCCGTGTTTCAATAGCGACAGTGTTTGGATAGTAAGACAGTAAGAACAAGTATTTACTTCAGCAATTCTAGTATACAGATAACCCTGGCAATTCTCTTACTGCGGCTTGGAAGTAGCTGATACTAGCCCTCTTCAGTATAAGTTGGAATCTATAAAACCACCTAACCTGAATCAGCTGTATTAACACAGGGAAAGAATTAGGTGCTCTTCTGTGGAAGGGTTTCAAAAGCCGAAACTGTGTTTTCGAACTTGATTCGATGCAGAGGTGTTCCGCTTTGCTTTATTGCGCATGCTACCTTGTCTTCAAGAGGACAACGAGCTTTTAGCATTGAAAACACATGATTATTTAACCTCCTTGCTTTCTTCATGGCTTCTATCAAGGGTTCCCATCCCTTCCAGTCCAAAAGGCAGAAAAATCAGTTTAACTCTGAGGTGTTAAAGGAATGTATCATAAAACATTTTAAACAACTTCCATAAAGCATAGGTCATAAATCTGAATTATGAGTCAGATTCTTCGGCAACATTGTTCAAGAATCAAAGCAATAAGGGGAATCTCTTATAAGGAGATGTCTCTTTATTTCTAAAATAAGAGTATTCCTCCCAGGATCACTATTGTCTTCATAGTCCATGCCACAGGTTAAAATTTTTACCCTACACTATTTCCCCAGCAATTCCTATTCAGCCATTCAAAATTAAGTTTTCCTATCGATCTATGTTGGGAAAACTCTAATAGCCCACCTTGACACCCAACCTGTCCCTGTAAATCCTGATGTGGTGTCATTCTAGGGATGTCTAGAATCCCTAGATAAAGCAATAATTTTTTACCATTACATGTTTGTGATTGGCTGACAGAGAAAATGGATTCAAAGTAATAAAGGTGAAATCAAAGATAGTCAAAAATCAAAATAATACTGACAACAAAACATTATCTTTATGTCCGAGGAGGAGATTTATACACATGTATGATTATTTATTACTTCAGAGTTCAGACATATGTAGATCTAAGAGAGTGGTCCAATAAAGATTTGTTCTCAGTAATCAGTTCATCAGCACAAATTAACAAAATTTTCTGTGCTTAGTTGACTCAGGACTCAGGTTTATGCTTCTGTGAGATGCATTATCAGGTTTTTTGGGGAATCGAGATATTTCAGGACAACGTTTTTGCAGCATTCACAGATATGTACAACTGAAGGCACATGGTAAATAGAAATCAAAATCCTTATAATAATGGAATAATAACGAGTCTTACCTGGATACCCTGAACATTTTTATGCATTAGAGTAAGTTCTGTAACCTCGACTTCTGCTGCGTTAAGGACTTGATATGAGAAATCAAAAAGCTCAAAATGCAGCTGCTGCCCAAGTAAATATATTAATGTGCAGCTTCCCCAAGCTACTGAATCTCCCAGCATCTCACGACTATTTGGGACTCCTTGAACAGATTCTTCTAAATGTTCCTGCAGTTCAAAGTCGTTAGAAATTGAATAAGAAAAAAAAATTTCTTCTTCAATACACTTTCAAGTGCTTTTCTCATATATCTTGATAATTACTGATGAATGCTCAAGTAAATTGTGAGCACTTGTCTATATACAAGAGAGAAGTTTGCTCCCATCACAAGATAATTATTTTACCTCAAAATGGGATATCACATCATACCATCACCCCAATGCCTCTAGTGATGCTCCTAAATCCCACCAAGGATATCACCCAAATTTCCCCATATTGAATACAAAGTTCTACTCCTTTCTCTAATCCAGCAAAGTACATGAAATGGGCCTTGTCATCATGACAGAAATTTAGTAATTTGTTGAAATAAGCAGTATATGAAACTAAATTCCTAGTAAACAGCATCCATTAGAATTTATTACATCAGGCTGATAAGGCGGTAACATACCAAACTGTATCGTACATTAGCCCAATGCTCTAAAAGGACTATCGACTAGGGTGGCATCCTGTTTTAGAATGGTTCAAGTGTACAGTTGTAAACAGCCTAAAGCCAACAAACAGATTATTTTCATCAAACCCTGGATAGTGAAGGAATAAGATATGAAGAAACAATATGTAGCATTCTTAAGATTTTCTACTGCCTTCCCAAGCCTCATGCAGAGCATTTTCAATTTGGAGATTATATTTGCCACCTATATTCTAAAGAGTTTCAGATTTTACATCTAACTTTAGGACTAGAGCTTATGTTACATTTGGTTCTGTCACACAGCTGATGATAAATGATGATTCCACTAGATCCAATAATTGAATTTGTAAACAACAAACACTTAGTCTGGTAGAAGCTTATTCAGAAGAGCCCAAAGAGTTAGAGCCCGTGTTATTAGTAGTGAAATTGTGACTGCAGAGTCACAAAGACCTAAAAATTTCTCCGATGTGGTTATACCTGCAACTAATTAGAATCCATAATACACATCATAAAACACTCAGGCAATAACCAAACCAAATAATCTAGAAGCACATATGTTCCTGATGGGTAATTAATGAAGAACAAAAGACCTGCAATTGCACATCACTTACTATTTGAAGGCCACTAAATATTCGGTAGAAGTCCTTTGAAGTTGTAATGTCTATGAATCCAGTCTTTGGTGTTGCACTCCACTTGCTACAGTATTTATCCAGTGCTGCACTAGTAAATGCAAGAGCATATTCCAAAACACTTCCAGTGTTCATATTAGCTTTATACAAGAGATCTGCAACCAGGCAGTTCATAGGTTACGCATATACAAGATACCTAGCATTATCATAGCTTAGGTTGTCAATGAATGTATTTTATTTGAAAAACAATGAAAATTGTCTGCATGAGTTCCTTTGATATGAAATAGCAAAAAATCAAAGAGCAGTTGCAAGACTTTTGGTTTGTCCATCCATGTCTTTGAAAAGAATCATTGGAAACTCATTTTGTTCTTGTCAATAGAAAAGTAGTTATGGCATTATGATGACGTAAACTATGAGTCCATGACCTAATTGTCTTTTGATACTTCTCACAACATGCTTGACATCCATGAATAAGATCATAGAGAAGATGGCTAGAATATGGAGAAGTCTTTATACCTGCTGCTTCAGCCTGTTTTGACATTGTGTAGAAGGAAGTTGGATTTGAGCAGTTAGGATTCGACACAATCGCAGTAGTTGTTGACTTCATGAGGTTGACGACAGGGCTTTCACCCTCACCTTGTGATAGCAGGATTTGCCCATCCGCATTAGGTATGAATCCAAGCCAGGGTGCGAGTTGCATGAAGCGTGTTGTATCGACTTCTCTCTGCAAGAATAAAAACATTACTTTGTGAATAACTAGAAGAAATTTCACCTTCAAGCACTTGCTTGGTTATAACTTGATGAGCTCATCTGCTCGTGCTAATATGCTATGCATTTTTTGATGCAAACGACAAAGTATATATGATTAAAAGTTGTTTCTTGCTCATCTGCTATGTAAATCATGAAAATTAGGCAGCATATTCTATAATCAGATACCAAGTGACTACTGTATAGAGTATCAGAGATGTTCTAGAGCGCTAATACCACTAGATACTTTAGGGGAAAAAAAAAAGAAGAAAAGCCTATCCTGCTCCAAGGTTAAACAAAGATGGGAAGTCATCGTCATATAATCAGATATCTGTATTGATATGTGGTTCCCTTTTATCCTGCCTCCATGTTCCAGCTAATTCTGGGAAAATTTTGTATTTAATTGGTGTTAATAGGGCCTTCTATAGTTCTATCAAGCCAAAACATAGATTATCGGATAGAGTCAAGACTCAAGTTGTAGCAAACTGTATACTCAATTTTGGAATACAGTGATCTTTCTTTTATGAGTTTATGGTCTTCTGCATCAGTCTCAATCTAGAAGATCAAGTCTAACAAATCAACAACACAATTAGTGGGTCACTTTGTTTTTTGTGAGGACTCCTGAAATGTGTCAATTGTATAACAGTAATTAATAGTCATAAGTTGTGCTTTAATCTTAAATAAATGGATTTGCTATATATATATCCATAAGAGCTACATATAACTGTCAAAGCATTGATTACTTTCCTGAAATAGTACAAAGTATTAATTTTGGAGATAAAACAAAATCATGCATTGATAGGTGTCGTCAATGGTTATTTAATGTTCAAAATATCTACTTTTAGATTCTTACACCTAGGGAGTTAGGGATACATACAACATAATTTTATATCAAAAGAACATGCAGATACAATTATAGGACTTACCAATACAATATCTAGAAGACCCATCCAATACAGTGTGCTTCCTATCTCCTTTATCCCCTGAAGAACTTCCTGCTTTAGTTCTGCCTTTGAGGTCCAGTTAAGCTTCTCTTTAATGTGTCGCATACAACCTAGATAGTAAATCATTATTATTTTAATTTGAAAGAATTGGAAAGGTAATAACCACCCCCCACCCCCCCAACAAAAAAATAAATAAATAAACAGATTGTACCTGTCACACCACCATCAAAGGGTAGCAAACCTATTGATTTGGGCAATGCTTCTTGCAATCCTGTAATCATTGCTTCAAGTGAACTTATCTGTTTCATTAAGTGACTACAGATGAGATACAGATATGGGTCAACTAAACAGCTTTGTGAACATACATGCATCTTGATTCAACCATAATAAATTTTCATCAAAATTGATACCCTTCCAAAAATCTGAAAAATGGTCTACAAATTTGTGGTGTGCGCGGCGGGGGGGGGGGGGGGGCGCTTAATCTCACTAACCCCCCACCATTAAGCAGGACATATACTGGGCCATTGTTGTGTACGTGGAAGACACTTAAGTAACTAATTGTACACAGAATTTTTAACCTTATTAGATATGTGATCCAGCAGCGCACGGATCAGCCATGGTAAAGAACGGGTTCCCAAAAGGCGGACAATAGAAAACATGTGAGGCATTCCAAAGAAGCCATTGTGCAACCTCGTAAAGCTTTGATGTGCAGAATTCAAATCCTGAAACAATAAATAAAAAAATAGAAACTTAGGTAGCTTCTTATGTCCATTGAGCAATATGGCAAGAAAAAGAATGCTGAGAGTCTGAGACAATAATTGCATAAAGGCTAAGAGCAATGGCTTGATTGTTATGTAACTTATGTTCAACAACAGACCAATATTAGCATAAAGGTTGATGCCTCTTAACTAAAGTGTTTGATATACCATATTTGAAATGATACTAGTGAGAACTAAGCTTATGATTGCTAATATGAAATAGAAAGAATTATATTGAGTCTAGCCAGGGGAGAAGTGAAGTAAACCCATCTTACTTGGTTACCGCAGTAAAAGTTTGGTTTGGCATATGGCATTGATGGCTTCTGAACTCGAGCACTGGATGATTTTGGTGATCGGACAAATCGTTGAGTAGTATTACATAATATGAAGTTTGGTAGGAAATCATTCTGCATCTCTGTCCAGATCTACAAATTACAGGAAAAGAAAATCAGTCAAAGGTATTGTTGGATACACACAACAAGCATCTACAACCAAATCTTACATGTCCCTATATTATCATCACCTCAGAGAAATCAATAGACAAGGAAACAGAAGACAATAATGCAACAAACAATTCAACAATATTGTTTTCTCAGAACCAAGCCTCAAGATTGAACAAAGACATAAAGCTTACTGGAATAAAAATTTATTTAAATAAAATAAAATTCCTTTGACTGAGAGCTACATAACATAGCAAAAAGATAACTTTTGAGCTCCTGTGAAAGGTTTTTCAGGATGAAAAATCTCCTCGTGCTCTGCCATAAGAACTTGGAGTCTGTATCATGGTGAAGGTAAAGTAACACTGCGATTCTTGCTCAAAAAACAGACCGAAAGCATTCGAGTTATTGGCTTGTTCAATCTGGCAGCATTCATGAGTCGCTCGTTCAACTGTCCCTCGGAGACACAGTCGAGAAATGCCCGGTAATGCCGCATCTCTCGATGAGAAGGAAAGAAGGTCGGCGACTAGTCGTATTGTCATCAGATGAATGACTAGCCTTGGAAGGCCTTTTGAAGCGGAAAGCAAAAGAAAAGGCAACAACATAAACTACTAAGAAAAGAGTACAAAGACTGTTCACAGACAGCTTATGCCTCTGACATCAATGAAGAGGAACCGGTATTAGGACTCAAACTAATAGCAACTTCAATTCATCCCCATTGCTATATGGCTCAACTTGTGGCTCAAATTTATTAACTTCATCTATATATACACAGTCCAGGTCAAAATTTGGCTCTAATACAAAACATTTGGCGCTTAAAAATCTAGAGCTCTATTCATGCCCAAACACTCCAGGAGTCCAGGATATAGCAAGAAAGCACAAAGTCACAAGGGCCATTACTCCAAATGACTCCAATACAAACAATCAGGCATTTAAATTTCTAGAGCTCTGTTCACGCCCAAACACTCCAGGTTATAGCAAAGAAAGCACATGCTCAAGGATTTTATCCTGCTTTCCTATATTAGAGCCTATAAATGATCAAGCCAATAAAGCCTCTAAACTCATGTGACATAGACGTGTATTTAACAAAGAACTCAAAAGGACAATTCCAAAAAACTACACTTCTCTCTCCTTCATCAAGAACCCCCCCCCCCCACACACACAACAACAACAACAACCAAAAAAAAAACAAAAAAAAAAATCCCCACAAGAGCTTGATGAATTCAGAGACAACAGGGATATCAGTTGATCAATTAATCTCATAATAATGAATCGAAAATCCAAGAGCTCGCAGCATTTTTCATAACTTGTGTCAAGATCACATCATTTAAAATATCAGGCAGCATTCGCAGAATCGCAGCAACAACAACAATCAATGCCTCATAAGCTATCAACATATAAAAATGACAGAATAATCATCATGATAGACAGGAACAGGCAAGCCCCATTTTAAACGCTGTAAGTTATGAGTGACAAAGTAACATATATGCTGAAAGGTAGAATTTAAACCTGGTAAGCTAGCCGGCTTGAGTATGAAACAAGAGATATGTTCTCTTGCATCTCACTGAAGATAAGACTGAATGAGTCTATTGTCAGATCCTCAGACAGAAGCTTATGGGCATGTTTCAAGATATTTACGAGGTTCTCCAATTCCTGGAATAAAAATATACAGAAAAGGAAACAACAAATGAGTTTCGATTTCAAATTATCCTCAGAAGACAGAATCAAAGAAAATTATAGCACTCACCACAATAGCACAGATATCCTGCGACTCAAAACGATCAAATAAAAATTCCAGGTTCTCTCTGAATGCCTTGTTCATACGTTGTGAGATCAGGCATCTCAAATCAATGCTCCTTCCAAGTAACTATGAGCACATCATAAACAGTATTAGATAATTGTTGCAAGAAAAACAAAGTTAAGAGTGGGGTGGGAGAAGGGAAGAGATGTTAGATAGAAGATGCAGTGGGATGACCTGCCAGCAAGAGGCATTGCCCCACCCAGGAACTTATAAAATATGCACCTAAAAAGAAGGAAATTAACATATATTGAGGTTTTACACCTTTCCAGATCTCAACTGCAAGATCAATGTGTCTAATAGACATTATAGTATAGGATTTATCCAATTATCCTTTTGCAGGGAGGCAGGGCTCGGATTGAGTTGAGTGAAAAGGTACCATACTACCATTTTTTTTTAATTATACAGTGAGCATATTCCCTTTTTTCAATTTCCTGTCACATACCATTCAATTTTTGGAAAAATAGAAAAGAGAGTTATTTTCATTTCAAGTGTAATTTTTATCTCAAAGATAAAATCCCCACTAATTCCTAATAATATCTGGTTACATATCATCTTTATTTTTCTTAGGATACCATACAGAGAAACAAGGTAATAAAAACATACAGAGTCAGAGGACCACAAGTCCTCAAGCAATAGAAGGAAAAAAATTCAGCATAGATGTGCAAGTGAATCATAGCATCATGTACTAGTAGTAGACCGGTCAAGGCTCAACTACTCAAGGGCATTTCACATAAGCTTCTAAGGAACACTTGAAGACCATGCCTATGACTAAATGAATAAGTCACTGGAAAACACAATGAAACATGATGATATAAGGTGGAAGATCACAAAACTATATTGAGTGATGGTCATCCCAAACGAAATGCAAAATCATGCTCACCTTAACTCTAGTCATTTTAAATAGTGCATTGAATCTCATCGGTTGCACTGAGTATTTTCCTCCATTGTCCACTGCAAAGAGGAATGACGAGTCGAGCAATTCTCTAACAGATGAAAAAAAGTTTTAGCATCAAAAGTAAGAAGATAACTTTAAGTATCAGACTGAAAGAAACTAAAATAGGTCCACTTCCACTTCCAGCCATACCTCGCTGCCCAACTTTTGTAATATGTGAAAATTATTTCACACAATTTGGAAACAAAAATATCAAAACAATGGTCCACCTGTAAGAAGTGAAAGAAAATTTCAAGTTCCATGTCAAAATAGCTAACGGAAACATATATGAGCTCTAGTGTAAAAGTAGCAAGTAAATCAATGTAATCTGCAACTAATATTTTGATATTTTCTATGCATAGTCTACAAATAGAAATAATTAAGGGAAAAGAGGAGACAAAAAGACTGCAAATTAAGAACGTCATGCTCATTGAGGGCAAACCAACTGGATCAAGAATTAAGTACTGCAAATCTAAGAATAGAAACTACTAGATCTTTGAGGGCAAATTTCTTGAACCAAGAAGATAATTTGTTTATTTTTGAGGCTGCAGTGCAGTAGGGGCCAATAATTGCTAAAAGATAGCTCAAAAGAGTAAGAGGAGGAAACTTGTTTGAAGGTCAGATTGGAAGTCCTTTCATATTGTATTTCGCGATAAGCAAAAAAACCATTGCGATAAAACTAGTAGGTGTGACTGGTAAGCTTTAAGTGGGACAGATTAGAACTGCTCTATGCAATTTTTCCAGAATCATCGTTTAATGAAGTGAAGCATAATTGGCGCACTACCTTTTCTTGTTAACTTATTAGAAGCATTCCTCGTCCTTTACAATATTTGATAGATGGTTGTGATGTTTTCCCCCATTTAGATGTCCTAAACATTTGTCAAATTTCCAAGGATAATGTAGAAAAGCACTAAATCACCATGAATTCATGAAACACGTGTTAACAAATGATGTTGCCGCAATCATTTTCTCTTTCTAAACATGACATTTAATAAAGGATAGTAGGAGCTTTTATTTTCTCGCAACTATGAATGAAAATTCTTCAAAAATGAACATTAAAGTCTTCAATCATTTAAACTATCTAAGTATCATCCTCAATAATCATTTTCTAATTTTCTTATCAACTGTCTGTAATCACACCTTATCCCATCATCCTTATCATAACTCAACACACTCCTCCAATAGTTAATATCTTTCTCAGGTTATATATCAAATTTATCCCAACTATGAATGAAAATTCTAAAAAAATGAACATTCTTTAAACTCTTCAATCATTTAAACCATCTAAATACATACTTGATAAATCATTTTCTAATTTTCTTATCAACTGTCTAATCACACCTTATCCCATCATCCTTATCATAACTCAACACACTCCTCCAATAGTTTAATATCTTCCTCAGGTTATATATCAAATTTCTCAGCTTTCTTACCTACACAACCAAATCCTCCAAGGATAATTTGTTCTCTCTCAAGAATCAAGCCCCAATTATTTACTCCAGCTATAATTGCTGCTAATCACCTCATTTGCCTTCTTCTTAAAGTTCTAATGTTGCCCAACTCCTCTAATGTTCCATTCACTCAACATATGCTTCATATGCTCCGCTCACACAAAACCCTAATCATGTACAAGCTTCCCATCAATCACTAAACCATTCAGTCACTCATGTTATTATTAGCTCACGGAAACAAGAGGACGGTATGCTTCATGTACTCCGCTCCCACAGGAAATGACAACAATAAATACTGATAAATCACGAGCAATAAGTTTTCCAATAGACAAAGAATATGCAAGCATTCACAACAGCCATAAATGAGTCACATATCCAATCAAAGCTACTCAACGAGGGGATAGAGGATAAAAAAAATCCCAAAAGTACCTCAGCTTCAATTTCATCATAGAGGAAGCGCTGCTTGAGTACAGTTAATGCTTGTTGAGAAGCATCGTTGTAGATATCAAATGGCATAACAACACTCTCAAACAATCCTGCATTTTGAGACTCAAGCACATAATCCACCAGCATCCAGGGAAGAGAGCATTCAATTGGAAACTGCAATCAAGCAACAAGTAAATTTGCATTCATTTAAGCATTCAATTAAAAACTGCAATTTGTTTGTTCATAAACAAATTGTGTCATGCCTACATGTGTGATGAATTGAGTACTAAACTATAGAATGACTGCAGAGCTAAACATAAGAATTGCTAGGAAACAGTTGGAAGCTCCCAAGTTTATCCTAAACAAAAACCAATCTACAGATTATTTAACAGTGATAGTGGATCTCTTCTACACTAATTTTTGGAGCAGAAGTAGCTATGTATGTGGTTGCCAAGATCAAAGAACTACTTACCCTAGCATGAGACTTGTTTGGCAACAACTTGTTACAGTAGCATCGCAAGGGGGAAATATTCCATATTAGGGGGAAGTAAACCCAAAACTTTATTCTGTATCTGTATTTCTAGCCTTATAAAAACATAATTTATGTATGTTATATTCTTTTTGGCTTATATCCAAGTAATATTTAAGCTATAAACCTCCACCCACAACAACAAATATCAATGAGAAACTTGGAGTGAATTAATTTAGATTTAATTGGATACATTCCACATTAAATGGCACTCGGGTATGCTGAATCGGATACACTAAGGCCCACTACATAAGGGCTTACTGTTTAGGACAAGGCTATAATTTATATTTACTTCTTCCATTAACTACTACAACAACCATCTTCTTCGTGACATCACTCTCAACTACAATAATTTATTTATAAACAAGTGAGAGCTGTGCCGAGGAAGGCTGAGACGAGGAAAGGAAGATATTTTCTATTTTAATACAAAAGACCTAGCTTTCAAATCAAACATTTTCACATGGCGAAGTGATCCATCAAGAAGAATGGTGCATAATTGAAAAGTATTTTCACCTGGATGACACGGGATGTTTCTAAATAGAATTCTCTGAACCAAAGGAAGCCAAGATCAGTAAGTGTTGCTATTGTCACTGCAGACACAATCGAGAGCCAAGATCAGCTACATAGAAAATTTTAATTTCTCTAGAAGCCAGCAAGTCTAGCATTACATTGCAATTTAACAACTTAGCAGGAAGTAGTAGCTGATCATGTTTTAATTATTTCCAGCAAAACCAACATTTATTGAGGGACCAAAATATAATTGTGGCATTTGGGAGGATAGGTGTATCTGTCCATGTCTTGGTAAATATAAATATAATTATATAAACAAACAAGCCAGCAAAGAGAGAGAAATAATGAGCTGAGTTAAGAATAATAGATGATTACCTGAGTAATCTAGCACATGCAAGAAGAAGCCAAGCTTGTAAAAGAAGGTTTCCAACTGTTTCAAATCCTCAGCTGGTATATCTGAACCGGTATTGCTGAAGAGCCCACCTGGCTTTCTCAAATTCCCACCAGAAACGACCTCGTAGATCAAGAACTGCAAGCAGTGGACCTGAATTTTGGAAGTATAAATGAATGCTGAATCAGTTACTTATAGCTTATACACAGTGTGATACCCCAATATGATTTCATATAATATGTTATATACTTATATAGCCACGAATTCTGCTTATGGTGGAACTGATCCACTTGGAATTGTCCTTTTTGGTGAGTAGCCAAGATTGGCTAGAGCAGGTTGATCATATAAAATCGCAGGTCAGCTCAACAGTTTCCAATTAGTCTTTTATAGCAAATTTAATTAAAGGGTGTGATTTTTTAGGATTCGATTTTTCTTATGTATATATTTTTTTTATGTTGTCTTGACCTAAAACTATAGTATTTTATACAACAACCTCCTAGCCAGTAACACTCAAGTGACTCTCAGACTTTATGGTGTGTACTGTAAACAAGCACATTCCAGCCTGAGCTTGGTAGGATCAAGGCAATGTTCATTCACCCAAATCTATGTGAGCAACCATCAGCTAGCCACAACTAAATCTGGGCTCACAGCCTAAATTAGCTCAGGATTACTCTCACTGACCATTTCATGGTTAAAAAAAAAAAAGGCAACGGTAAAACCAATATGCTTCCTCACTGATTAATTGGATTAAGCTTGGCTTGGGATCATTTAGGCTTAGGTTTGTTTTGGCTACGGCTAGTTATGGCGTAAACTGAGCACTTGTCCAATGACTCACTGACATCGCTCAGCTTATCAAACTCTCTCTTTTACAAATATTGAACCATATATCATCCATCTGACAATGTGCTCTCTCATTAAAATCAATAAGCAAAGGATCTCTTCAAATGTCATAGCTACCAGCCTACCACGAATATATTTCAAGGACAAGTAACAGACAGTAAACAGACCTGGGCTGCTGTTGGTGCAGCTGGCCTGGGATACAAGTAGCTCCCTTTGCTTTCTTCACCTTCTTGCTGTAGGGATGGCAAATCATTCTCTTGTTTGCTTGTATTTGCCATCCAATCAGCTGAAAGGGTCCGCATATCAGACAAAATCCTGAAAAAAGATTAATCCTAAGTATTAGGTGGGGAAAACCGGAGGGATCAACCCAATAGAACAAACAGCACAGAGGCAACACTCAATGTCTGACTAAATAATAGAAACCTCATTGATGACATGCAAAATTGAATAGAAATAGCATCTTATTCTTATGCTACATATGCATCAAAACTTTTAGCCAGGATACTGATTCAAGATATTAGCTACATGCTTCCTCCACAGCCCAGCCACCATTAAATCTAGAAAAACCCAACCCCAGTCATTTCTGATCTCACAACCTTGCAGAAAGGGGGAGTTGGAGTGACGCTTCCATTGCTATTCTTGCCTTTGATTGAGAGCTGGAAAGCCTTCCCTAATAACTGCAACTGAAAGCTTTTGCTCGCGGGGGGGGGGGGGGGGGAGGAGAGAGAAAATGGAGTCGGGGTACAGGAACACTTGAAAATAGAAGGGAGGAGGATGAAGAAGTTTTAGTAAGGGTGGTGGGATGGATGAAGGTGAGAGTGAGAGTCAAAGAGAGGAGGAATTGAAGTGATAGAAAAGCCGGAGCAATAGAAATGGGGGTCTAATATTCTGATACATATTCCATATCCCTATAAAGAGCTAGAATGAGAAATCCATCTTAAAGACAATATGTTATTTTGGGAAAAAAAATTGTTTAAAACACTAGAATCGTAGACTATACTAGATATCGTAGAGTGGCTATCCTACCATAAGAAAACATAGGCTTTTTTTTGGTGCCCAAACTCCTTGGAATATCGGTTGCCTCTCTCAAGACCAGACCCAAGGCTCAACTTCCACATACACCCCCTCCTCTCTGAAGATTTGTTCCCAGGGCTTTCCTCAAGAGATGAAGAGTATTGCCACTTGGCTACTACCTCAACCTCAGAAATATAGCATTTTGTATATGATTGATATATCAACTCGATTTCTTTCGATGAAGATTTTCCTCCAGAAGAGAGGTACTTAAATACTTAATCATCACCAATAACCAGGTGGGGCTAGCTAACTAATCCTTTGCTCTAAGAGGCGTATTATGTCCCTGCTATTGGCCCAGAGTCAGGGGGTTTCTCACAGAAATGAGAAGGCTGCAGATTCTAAAATATTAAACTATAGATTCTGATTGATGTCATCAACCAAATGCCCACCTAGAAAGATCCTTTTTCCTCCTAAAGGTAGTACGCAGCATAGTTGCCAAGGTATTCTGAACAAAGTCCTGAACTTCAGCATGAATTGTTTCCCATAAGGCATCAGCAACTAATGTATCACAACGCTGCATCATCGATCCTATGCTTTTAACATAGCCAACAAGCTCAACCAGTGCTCTCCTTTCCTCTGCACTGTAATTATACCGCACCACCTACAGCAAGCCAAAAGATTATCTGTTAGAAGAAAACATAATGACATGATACTTTAACAAATATATATATATATATATATATATATATATATATATATATATATATATATATATATATATATATTCCATTAGCCCCTTCTTTCAGAGGTTAGCTTGTTGCTGGAATTAGTATTGCACCATCCATCCCTTACAAATTAGAACCACTCTTTATTCCTTATTACTTGTTGCAATAATTAAACGAGGCAGGTGGAACACGTTTGAGATGTATATATTGCAAGACTAAAAATTAACGCAGAAAGTGCCAGTGCCTTCTCATAGTCAGAATATAATGTCGAAGCTTTATTTAACTCTTCAGAAGATTGATCCTTGCAAGGGCGAGAAAATTTCCATGCACACTGTTCCCAGATGCGCCCAGTCCATTTGCTAAGAAGTTGAAATCCTTCAACAACCATATCATACATGTTGCCTTTGACATCTTTGGACCACTCAACTTCAGCACCCTCAGTGGATTTTAATAAATCTAACTGCATAAAATAATTTTTTTTTTAAAAAAAAGGTATCAGAACCATGAACTTTTGATTTCAGCATATCCTTGAATCAAAATATGCACATACAAAGCATGCTTCATGCCTTCACGTGGAAGGTTATGAACAAGGAAGCATTAGAAAAGCAATACCTGATTAATGGATGAAGCAAAACGAACTGTAAAATCATCGTGTTCAGCCCGAATAGCACTAATATGGTTGACTATAAGATATTGTCTCTGATAAGTGATGTAAGTTAAGAAATATAGCATATCCAATATTCTTTTGCACATTGTATTGTATTGTATGAACATAAGGAAAGCCAGAAATAGCCACATCTCTCATAGTCAATAAACAAAACTATCTTAGGAAGCAGCTAATTGAACATAAAGTTTTCCAGTCTGGTTTTGCAAAATTAAAGTTGATGATTATCCCAAGGATTTCAGTTATGTTAGTGCATCATAGAAATTAAAAGAAGAGGATGATACATAGATGACATGGATAGAAACTGAGGAAGAGTAATGCAGAGCAGCAAGCTGTAAGCCTACAACTAGTGCTAGGTACTCATTCTTTTGCAGTAGCTCCTGCTGGATTCTATACAATATAAGCTGAAAATGCATAAGAAACCAAAGGCCAAAGGGCCATTTTGCAGGTATACAATACCAAGGTTTTCTTGGATAATAAATTACCAGTAATATTTTCCAATTATAGGCACATTCCAATTATAAGCCACATGATAAAGAGGACGAAGTAATCAGAAATTGTGTTCATGACAGAGATCACTGGACAAGAAAATGATAATTTGGGCAGCATACAGAGAGAGAGAGAGAGAGAGAGAGAGTATTTGGGTTTGAAATTGCGATTTAAAATAGAATAATACCAGTGTACACAGAGTTGCAGACACAAACATGCTACATACAGCAGACTGAAATTGCGATTTAAAATAGAATTGATTATCATAGGCATGCTTGCTGTGTTCATACTAAACTGCATAAGGACTTAAGGATAGCAAGCAGGAAATATTGCTTTAGAAAGAACGAAGAGCAATAAAAGGATATTCTTGAGCCTCACGAGGCTGAAGCTCATGCGGTGCTGGAAGAGCAAGAAGACGAGCTTGACTGACAAACTTCGGGAAATATGATGACAACTCTTTCATAATAGCAGCAGGAGAAAGATGAAGATCTGGAAATGCAGGGATAACTGGATCACTCTGCACATCATCAGGATCGGAAAAGTCTAAGCATTGAATGTTGCACCATAATTCAAGAAGGCAAAATACTTAACAGAAAAGCATCATGTACCATAAGTCTTAGATATATGGAAACATCATCTATTATACCTTGAAAATGCCAATAAGTCGATTGATCTTGACCCTCTTATAAAGTGCTTCAGTATCTTTCTCTGATGTAGTTGCTAAAACAACAAGTACAGGAAGGACACGCAAGAGAACATGCCGATCCGGAAAGAGAAGTGCAAAGTCCAATTCCAGTGACTCAACAGTGAATACTATCAGAGCTTGAAGAATATCTTCTACACTATCCACTGTTAAGGGAAATCCCAGGATTTAAATAAAAAGCATTTATAAAATATCCTGCCACCAATCAAAAGAGCCTTACAAAACCTAGATTCCTAAAAATCTTAATTTGCAAAAACAGTAACTTGTATATCTCAGGATACTTGTTCACCCTGAACATTTCCACATGCAAGTTCAAGAGAATAGCCCACCTTGTGCTTAAGAAAATCTACTGACAGCCAAAAAGTACACTCATAAAATAAGTCTTCTCAGTAAAAATTAATTTCAAATCGATCAAAGTGGAGGATTCAAATACTAAATTAAAAGTGAGCATGACATGACATACCTGTAAATCGTCCAATTCCTCCCTCATTGAATCAGTGTCTTGCCACTGAACACTAACTTGGGTAAATGTCCTACATTCAAATTTTTCAAAAGAGGCAGTCAATAAAGGATATACTACTCAATAGAACTGATCTGGCAGATCATCACAATCTCCTCCACACCCCCTCGGCCCTTCCACTGATCTGGCAGATTCAGACATCACTATCAATCAACCAATCAAAGCCTTAATCCCATAAGTGGGGTCGGCTACAAGAACCAAAAGTGATTATTCCGTATACTCATCCAATTCAGACATCACTGATGATACTAAACAAAACCAAAGAAAAGATAGCATCGAAAACTTCCAAAGCTAGACACAACAGGGAGGAGCAGAAATCTGAACATTTTACAGCTATTCAGGCTTTTTAAAGTATATGAATCTTTTGCAGAATGGGAGAAGGATATAGCCATATAGGGCTCGATATCTGCATATTATAAGGCAAAGAAAAGCTAAAAATAATAACATAGCAATTAGATCAAGATAGTATATTTAGCTAGCGTACCTTTTGTACCAAGAAAAATCATTTGGAATGCTAGCTTTTGCATTTTTAAGATGGTCAAGTTGCACCAAAACATCCAGCAGCTTCAACATAGACCTGTAGCATAGAAAACAGTTTCAAGATATTACTTTGCGATCAATTTATATGATTTTACAAGGGGACAAACAACGTATTGACAATTGAGTCCTTTTGGAAGAACTTTAAACATTCTGATATTATTGAATTAATGTTGTGAGTAGATATAAGTCAGGAGATGAAAGAGAGGAATATAAATAGGAGTTCTAATAATAAATAGGTCAGAATGTGGACACTTATTCTTATGACACCCAATAAAATCTTCCACTGATGTACAGAATCTTTTTTTGATATTATGTACAGAATATCATATATGAGAAACCTAGATTTTACAGGGACTGTGGGGGCAGAAACTCTTTGCTCAATACCTTAGTTGAAATAGGTTTAAATCAAGATTAAGTTGATCTTAAGGCCAGTTAAATAGCTTTTCAACTCACCAAAGATGAGTTACAGTAGGGCCATTGATTCGTCGCTCAGGCCTTGAAAAGCGTTGCATGTCAGCTGCTAACTGCATTGGATTACAAGTAATTATATACATGCTTTGGTAAGATAATATAAGGAGGTAGAGTGTAATTCATTGGAGGTCTAAGAGAAAGCACATAATGTATACTTTAGATGCTGCCGATGCCTGCCAACGTTGAATTTCGCGTAGACGACTCATTTCCAAATCCAGTACTTGATATGTCTCTAAATATAGTTCAGCTTGGCTATGTTTCATGGAATCAGGAAGCTGCAATTGTTCCCAACTATTAGAATCACAAAATGAATATGGGTGGAGCAAGATGTCTTTGCCTAGATATATTTCAGAAGAAGGTCTAAAGATGAAATACACTGAAGCTCTGAGGTTTAAAATCGGTAATACATAACTTGGGTCATGGTGCTTCAGTATATATTACAATAGAGAAAGTTTAGCATTTATAAAAATTAAAAAAAAATATAAATATATATATATATGGAAATTCACCTGAGGGAGTGCCTTTATACAACTCCGATATGTATAAAGCACCGATGACATTTCTTTCCCCTCATGGATAAGAGTGTTCTGCATGAACAGCATTAATATATTAAAATGTATCCCTATCACCAAGCAGAAGCATATCACAGACATTTAACATAATCAGTAGAGAAGGCAATTAATACACGAGAGCTATGAGGTAAATTTAGACGTTTATAAATCTAGCGTTGATAACTTTACAAGTAGAGGCTGGCAGGCAAAGATGTGTACCAGCTGATTAAGAGCTTTGGTGTCTTCTGATAAAGACAAGCGATAAGCAGCAACATCACTGTATTCTGCAAAAAAAAGTTAATTCATACTTTCAGCATTGTATGTTCTGCCTTTGGAAAACACAAAACATCCCGCTTTGTGTGTTGTAATCCACATAAGCAAATAATAGAATTAAAAAAATCAAGAAAAATTACATTACAAATAAATATTTATTACAGAGTAATAGACAAAAAAAAGTAACAGAAATACTTACCAATTGGACTAGTAGTTGCACCTCTATCAGATGACACCCAAACTGCTGGCCCTTGCACCTCCGGTTGGTCATCCTAAAAAGATTTTCAAAAATGTAGAGATACATTTTTTTCTGAGTTAATTTTATAAAAAAAAATAAATGAAAAAATAAATAAATAAAATAAAAAAGACAAAAACAAAAAAACAAAAAAAAAAAAAAAAAAAAGGAAAACAAGAGTATATGATGATTGACACTCCTTAAACAAAAGAATATTATAAGTACAGATTGAGATGAGATAATTAAGGGTGAGTATGTATTGACAATCTTCAGAGTTCAGAGTGAAAACAAATTGCCAAGGGTTCGAGATGAGGGAAAATAATCATCAGCAGTGCCAATAATATACTGTAGCTTGCAATATTGAGCAACTTTCAGCTCTTTTGAGCACAAATTTCAACATAACAATTATTGATAATTGAAACATAATATTCAGTTGTTCGGTCATAGGAAACACGCACAAAATTATGGAAATAAGTAAGATATTCACTTACTCAGCATAGAGCAGGACGTGATAAATCAATGATTAATATTAATGTTGTTGTTAATGTTTGACACTAGTATTCACTTCCATATTAAAATCAAGAAAAGTTTAAATGGAATTTAAGTTGCTCGAAAAATAAAGTTGGAACGGTAACGATACGAGGCTTAGACAAAAATTAGCATTATACTAGTGTGCCTCCACTATTTACTTAACCAACTTTCCTTATCCCATCTTCCATGTTACATTATAATACAATTGCAATACTACACACCAACGAAATCCTAATAGTAGGTTCAGAATCCTAACACATAAACAAACAAATCCTTAATCTGCTTGAGTTACCATAAAAGACTGCAAAAGGAGTAAAGTTCCACAATATATATGATAGCATTGCAGTTTACAGATTTAGTATAATCTCCTTGATATCTTGATCAATTGTCTCACTACCTTAGCAGGTTATGGGAGTCACTGACTCACTTCCAGTATTCAAAAGCAAATGGTGCATACTAATATAAATATACATACATTGCCTAATAGACTTTAATTATACACATTAAGTTATATTTCTGATTAATTTCCTGAATAACATGATCATAATTATAAAATAAATACATAATGAACCAAAATTAAACCCTAAAATTCAAATAAATAAATAAAAATATACAAAAAATTTACCTCAAGTGAGAATGTGGAAAGAGCAGCAATGGCTTCTTCAACAGGAACAGCCATAGCTCCTCCTCAATGCCGCAAGATTACCAATTTAATCTGCAATTTTTTCCAAAAAATTGAAGAATTTGGCACAAATATGGCGGATTAAATGGAGAATGATTAAACAAATTTGAACAGATCAACACGAAAATGAGTAGAAATTGAAGCTCAAAACCTTGAAGATTGGAAATTGTAATGCGGCAAAAATGGCGGAGAGATGAGCAAAGATCTAGAATTAGGAAGGTTTAGGAGTAGCGGAGAAGGTGAAGTTAGTTGTGTATTTCTGTAACTTAAACTTCACTAATAAGAAGTTCTGAATTAAAGTTCTAATCGTCTAACTTTTCTTCTTCTTCAACCACCGGTGTACCCGCCCTACTTTACCTTCCTCTTTTGGGCGGAGTGTGTTTAGAGGACAAGTCTACAAGCTAGTGTGAAGTAATAATCAATTTCGATCCTTTGTTCGATTTTGATCTTCTTCCATCTCGATTTAGTTTGTCTACTTTTTTTTATCGGTTGTCCTTAGATTGCCTTTTGTTTTTTACAACTTACATTCGATAAGGATTTAGGAACTTATTGTTAATATTTTTTAATAATTATCTTTTTTTCCCATTAAAAGTTAGGGTCTCACACTCTCTCTCATTTCGTAAATAAATATCTAATTAATAATAATAATTTAAAACGAGTGAATCGTTTGACTTTTGCAGCATTCACATACCGACTTTGACTTGATTTTATACAATTATATGAAGGACAAATGTTATTATGTAAAATTTTGCTAGATTAATCATAGTGCATATGTCCATAATATAAACTTTTTATAAATTTTGCTAAAATATAATTTAAGATATTCATGGTTAAAATTGTGCATTGGCATATATGTGAGTCCAATTGGTGCACTTTTCAAAAAAATACAACTCATATGGAAATTTAATTCCAATGTCAACCAAACAAACACAAAATTTATGAGAAATATGTTGAATTGTAATTCGTCCTAAAAGAAGAAACACATGATATTAAATTGTGATTACATAAGGATTACATAACTTGGAAGCAATGCAAATTTACAATCATTAGAGATACGATTTAAAATTAGACAACAGCATTTCCATTCAAGTTGGATTGCTCATACAACAATACACCACAGAGCAAGGCCCTAGAAATTGACTTGTACATAATTATCCTAAACCGAAATTGACCCAACCCTACCAATATTAATGTGACTAATATTGTCAATTAGACATAATAGTTAGACAATAATTTGATTATGGCCCTTGCTGAAATAGACTCAAACTGAAAGTCACATATTCCAAATTGTATTGATCCAACTTAGAATTGTTCATTTGTTACTCTAAGAAAACCTAACACTATGTTGCAAGCTTACAACCATTTTCTTTGTAATAAACCTGAGATTCGCCACGCTGTGGTCCATTCTGGAAACTGGTTCTAAATTTCTAGGTTAAATCACAATCCCAACAGCTCATAATCAACGGGAAAATTTTCAATAATATTTACATAACTATCTAACAGGTCAAGAAGCTTCATCAGAAGGGCTGTCAGGTGTTTGTCTAGCAGCAATCACCTTGTCGAGTGTCTCGTCAGGAACTGTGATTCCACTAGTTTCCAGATCAGCAACAATTGCTATTGCTGCGTCAAGTTCTCCAAGATCAAGGCACAGTGTGATGATTTCATCATACAAAGGACTGTATACAGAAAAGTGATCAGTTAGGTGAACTAAGAATTTCCACAGAAGTTGACAGGTTATAAGTACAAAATATGAAAGGAAAAAAAAAAGTGGTAGGAATCGTAAAATGGGCAGAAGTTTCAAGTTTGTTTCCAATCTGTAGCATCTTCTTACTTCTTTAGCATTCCCCAGGCCAATTTCAATCTCTATAATTGGATAACAAGGTTGATTACGGGGAAATTATTCTTCTTTGTCAAAGAGCACGACATCATTGTTGTTTATTATGAATGTGGAGCACTGTAAACTTACAGGTAAATTTTTTTAACTCATCTACTATGGAATACTATTAAGTAAAATATCTACTAATGAAATTTCTAATGGAGACATGAATACTCAAAGAAAAACCAAGTTAAAAACAAAATCTCAACTCACCTTCCAAATCTGTAGCCAAGACTATGTGTAGTCTGTAAGACTGTCAAGAAAGCTGAAGGAAGAGGAGCTTTTATGGCAGCACGAAGGATCATAGCACAGTCCCCAATAGTTGGTATACCTCCTAGCTCTATTACCTGAGACAAAATACAACTTTCAGCAATTAATTAACATCTACATGTGTAATAATTTTATTTTATTTTTGATAAGATACATGTGTTTTAATTTACATCAGCAAGTAAAAAAAACAAAGTGACGCCAGCTCAAAGAACTTAATATTTTGGAATTCTCTCTCATACTTGAGTTTCTGTAGAAAAAAGTCAAATCCAGGATCTGGTAAAAATAAAGGAATCATGATGTATAATTTATAAAAACTTGCCTTTGACATAACTTTAATAGCCAATTCAACCTCCCATTCTTGAGACCACCTCCGTGGAGGTCTGTTCTTCAGCTCTCTATCCCATGTCCAGCCCCAGGCATCAGCAAGCGTGTACATATCGTCTACGTTAAAGATATTTCTATTCCTCATTTCTTCAAAAGCCTCATATAAATCTAGGGGGAACCAGTCATCATCATCATCATTCTGCACCAATGACATAGAATGAGGCAGGCTGATACACATGCAAGCTAAAACACAAATAGATGAGCATATGCAATAATATCCTTTCTTGTTCAAAATTGTAGTAATGACCAAAAATTTTATATTTCCACCCACCAGAATACATCATGACTATATTAATCCTGCAAGTGACAAACTTAAGAAACTTCCTGACGTTCCTGTACTCTCCAAAGGGGAGCACAAATATCAAGAGATCGGTCTCCCTTTTTTGGAGGGTTTTCACCCCCTTTGTGATAAGGATTGATTAGTCTCAATTACCAAAGCAGTAAATTAACATCATAATGCAACCCAAAAACATATAACGAGGCTCCGTATAAACTTAGTTATACAAAAATAGCACTTGAATCAGTAAAATTAGAAAGTCAATGAGTTTATACTCCTGAGACCAGACATAGTTATATTGTACAGTAACAAGATTTTTCAATTTAGTGATGATTGGAGGGAGCATGATTCACCAACAACTACTCTCTGAGATACACTCAAAGTCCACAAACAAACTTTCTCAAAACGAAGAAACACCTGATCTCTTGATCATACAAAACCTCCTTTTAGTAACTCATACTAATTAATGATACTCCAGACCTACAGTAATTTGTCATCTGCTGACAGAAATGGAAATTAGAGTTCCTTCCACATGATACCTAACATGTTTTAAAGCCAGAGAATGCTTCCACCGACCCCCGATCTCTAAAAGGGGTGGAGGACAGGGAACATAAAAGGAGCACTATCGTGCATGAGGGAGGGGTGCTGGCAGGGTGCTTGGAAGCAAGAATGACTACAGTAGGAAAAAAGAAGGCAAGGCAACGTGCAGAGCACTAAACAATACGTGTTTGTTAGCAAATGGCATAATTCTCATACCTCTGCAGCCATAGAAGCTCTTCTCCTTGATTTTTTCGAGGTTGTTGGCTGGTCTGTATCTTTTAACAATTGGACTCCAATCATTTGAAGAGGTTTTTTGGCTTCAACTTCCTTGTCCTTCACCCTGTCTACCAGGCCTTCTTGACTTTCAGTTTGTTCTACCTCCACTTCTGTTTCTGCTTCCTCTTCGTCATCAGCTTCATCGTCTTCAATTTCTTTCGAAGCATCCTCCGCAATATCGGCATCATCTATCATCTCTTCAGGTTCTGATTCCTGCCCATCTGTGGGATTTACATTATCATAGATGACTCGCTCCCCAAGAAAACGACGCTTCCAAAATTCTGTGTTGCCCTCTTCCAGTTTGATTCTTGAAATTAATTCATCCACCTCTTCATCAACCTGTCAAAACAATCTTTTTTAATTAAAGAGCCAATATAGAACTAAAAAAATATAGTAGAAAAAGACAAGAAAGGATAGCAAGAGATTGCAATATGATCCAGAACCAAGAGATCACCTCCTCCTCTTCCTCTTCCACTGGAGGAACCCATAGTGGACGACCACGTGAAATGTTAATTCTCCTAGCCTTTTGTACTCGCTGATAGAGCACATTCCTAGTTCCATCAATAGGGAGACCTTGGGCTTCCAGTTCTTCTTTTAACTCAGATACTACCATCTTACTAGCCGCTTTTGGTTTTATAACATTTTTCTCACGACCTTTGATTAGTTTCTTCAATCTTTCCTCCACTCTTATATAATCAAATTCTGATGCATTTGGTCCGAGAACGGCCGGTCCTTCATTCCTCAAGTGCTTCAAAAGCTTCCTATGACGTATCTTCAATTCTTCAAGACATCTTTGTTTGTAGGAGGTTTCCACTGGATTTGAGTAAATGAACCCTTCTGCATCAGGATCCAGAGGAGTTTTTCCTCTTCGAGGAACCCAGCGTTTGCGCTCACCAGTTAGCCCACCTTCTGAAATATACCTGGGGGCTTACCAAAAAGAATAATCAATCACTGGAATTTTCTTTGCATACATTGGATATACTGCGAGAATTATTACCAAATATAAATAGCCTGAAGCCAAAGCTCAAGAAACAGACATTAATCACCTGGCCATGTAGTCAATTTCATATCCGAGGTCAGCCTCTTCTTGCAAAGGCTCAATCCATGAGCTGACTAATGTCCTGTATTTTTTACTCAAAATCATAGCTCTTGATGGAATTGGCTGATTATCCTTAGCCATAGCTTCTAAAGCTTCCAGCAATTCTTCAATTCTTCCTGTTCTCCACCCCAAATCACAACAGGTTAGGATCAAATTTTGACAGCAAATAAGTTGGAGCTCAAGCATCAGAATATTTAAACTATTTGTAACTGAAGCATTGATCGTTTTGCAGACTGAACAAATTAGCATTCAAGAGTGAGCTGCCAACATTTTATTTGGCACCTTAAGTCATGTTTAAAAGCACAGGAAACTTAGCAGAATATTCCCGCAAAGTAGGATTCTCTTTAAAGATGAGTCCATAATTTATATAATATTGAATTAAAAAGAATATTAAAAAATTATATTTTCTGTTTGGACATTTTATAATAAATTTACTTGGCTCTTGAAACTGGAAATAGCATACATTACTGAGAATTCCAATCTTCTTTTATAATATATAATGTCCAGCCCATGATTGAATGAACAATTATATAAATATTCTGCCATTATGCAGTATCAAGAGCATAATATGCTTCCAAAATGAGCATAATTAGGATAAGCATGCAATGCTGAAGTATAGAGCAAAATAAAATCACTGTCTTAAGACAGAGTTGCTATTTCTGCCAGTGGCATAACAGAGAAGGTTGAATTTTTCACCTTCTCGACACAAGGCTCGAAGGTACAGAGAAAGTGGATCACCAAA